AAACATTCAAACCTGATAATATTAATAAAGGGAGACTAAGGTATAAAGGAACCGCTGCAAGAGAAGAAAGAATACTTCAAAATGTGGAGGCTGACCCGTCAACGAGTACGAGAAAACTTGCTGCTCAGGAAAGAATTGCTTGCCCTTCAGTTTGGGAAGTTTTGTAAGAAAATGATCTTCGGCCCTTTCATGTTCACGTTTCATAGAGAGTAATTTTATGCAATCTAATTTTAGAAAAAAATCATGATTACCCGCAATTCTTAAATGTCATTTTGTTCACTGACGAGGTTGCATTCAGTCGTGATGGCATCGTAAAGTTTCGAAATATGCATCAGTAGAACATTGCATTGACCTCCAGCTTGGACTCCTTGCTCACCAGACCTTATTCCTATGGACTCCTTTTTTTTGGGCACACTCTTTAGTGTATGAAACAATTATAACAAATATTAATGATCTACGACAAAAAATAATAATGTAATTAAAATGTATATGAAAATGTTTAGTGTGGTCATTTTGAAAATGAATTGTAATTAGCATTGTATATCGTTTAATTGCCGATTAGTATTAATAATTTTTTATTTTCGAAGCTGTTTTTCTTACTTAAATTAAACATGTTATTGCACTGACTTATGCCATTTTTTCAGGATGATGTAAATACGTGTAAAATACCAGCTTATTCCACTGAGAATTAAGCACAAATTTCGAATTTTTGTTACATAACTTACTACCATTATTTTACCATGTTGGTAGGTGCTTGACACTCAACATTTTGACTTCAAGAGAGTCTTGAACCAAAGAAGATCCTGTTCCCCGTTATGTTTCAAGCCACTTGCAATTTCCAAATATAATTTTAAGCAATATTTTAATTTAATTTTAATAATATAATTTAAATATATAATCTAATTAAATAACTATATGCTGTTCCTAATTAACACTAACTAACTAGAACTGGCCTTAACCAATTAGATTAAATAGCGTGTGGTCTCTATGTTTTTCACAACTTCTTTACCAGTAGCGTGCCTGATGGAGTTCAATTAGCTAAAGACATAAAAGTGTAAATCGATTTTAATTTAATTTACGCGTAACGCAAAACTGAATTCAAGAACACACGGACCTTGCTGGGAGTTCACCAAATGTCAAGAAAATGCTCGAAGTCGGAAATCTAAATTAAACTAAAAATAAATAAGAACTAAAAGTTCAGATTTTCACGAAATTATATATTTTGACATTACAATTGTTTCTACATCACCGTGTCTTTATCAAATGTTATATTTACAAACTACCTGCCACTATATATACCGAAAAATGATCATAAAACCTTAATTAATGTTGTTGCGAGAATTTAAGTTCAGTAAAGGAGAGGTATTTAAATCTAATTGAACGTTAAGCAATACATTTGAATGTTTCATTTTGTTAATCTAAATGGCTTCCAATAAATTTAATTTTCTACTTTTTGTGGCTGTATGTAATATATCAAATTTGTCGTCAAAAATGTGTTTTTCTGTGTTTAAGTGTGTAGCATAATTAGAATCTAGACTATTGTTTTTAAACGCTCTGATATGTTCGTTAATGCGTTTCTTGAAGGATCTACCTGTTTGTCCAATATAAATTTTAGGACAAGATCCGCATTTCAACCTGTAGACACCTGATTTTTGGGAATTTGGACATTTAGATTTATTATTTTTTAAATATTTTCCTATTGTGGTGTTAGTTCTAAAAGCTATTTTTAAACCACATTTTGCCAAATGGTTTGAAACTTTTTCACTAGGTTCTCGTATGTATGTAATTGTTTTAAATTGTTCGTGTTCTGTATTAGGTTTCGGACAAATAGAGTTTACTGTTGTCTGTATTTGTTTTTTACTTATAATTTTATCTATAATGGACGGATTGTAGCGGTTGTTCAGTGCAATTTGTTTGATGATATTAAGTTCTTTGTTGTAATTTTCTGTTGAGAGTGGCGTATTATGAAGTCTGTGTATAAAAGAGTTAAATGTGTGTATAAGGGTGATTTGAGCTGTTTTGTATGACTGTGTCCGTATGTGAAGGTTTATGATATATTGAAAAATCCAATTTGTTTTGCACCTTTGTAATAGTTAAGTCTAAAAAATTTATAGAGTTATCCTGTTCAATCTCGATAGTGAATTTTATACGATTATGTATTGAGTTAATGTAATTTAACGCAACACTACTATCTTTTGATGTACAAACTTATTTCCCAGTATTCCACATATGATTTCACTCTAACTCGGAAGCAGGTTAACCCATTGGTGAAACAAGATTTATTAGAGTGCTTAATAGTATCTTTAAACCAAAATTATTTTGAATTTAATGGGGAGATTTATATCTCTAAAGAAGGTTTAATTATGGGAAACCCAATTAGTCCTTTGTTGGCCGAGATTTTTATGGATAATTTGGAAAATATCATACTAGAACATCCTTTAAGTAAAAGTTTTTTATGGTGGTATAGATATGTGGATGATGTCTTTGCTTGCTTTGTTAAAACGGACAGGCAATTGAATTATTTTTTAAATTACATTAACTCAATACATAATCGTATAAAATTCACTATCGAGATTAAACAGGATAACTCTATTAATTTTTTAGACTTAACTATTACAAAAGTGCAAAAAAATTTGATTTTTCAATATATCATAAACCTTCACACGCGGACACAGTCATACATAACAGCTCAAATCACCCTTATACACACAAAATGGCTGCATTTAAATCTTTTATACACAGACTTCTTAATACGCCACTCTCAACAAAATTACAACAAAGAACTTAATATCATTAAACAAATTGCACTGAACAACGGCTACAATCCGTCCATTATAGATAAAATTATAAATAAAAAACAAATCCAGACAACAGTAAACTCTATTTATCCGAAACCTAATACAGAACACGAACAATTTAAAACAATTACATACATAGGAGAACCTAGTGAAAAAGTTTCAAAACATTTATGAAAATGTGGTATAAAAATAGCTTTTAGAACTAGCAACACAATAGGAAAATATTTAAAAAATAATAAATCAAAATGTCGAAAATCCCAAAAATCAGGTGTCTACAGGTTGAAATGTGGATCTTGTCCTAAAATTTATATTGGACAAACAAGTAGATCCTCCAAGAAACGCATTAACGAACATATGAGAGCGTTTAAAAACGACGACAAATTTGATATATTACATACAGCCACAAAAAGTAGAAAATTAAATTTATTGGAAGCCATGGAGAATAACAAAATGAGACATACAAATGTATTGCTTAACGATCAATTAGATTTAAATACCTCTCCTTTATTGAACTTAAATTCTCGCAACAACATTCAGTAAGGTTTTATGTCATTTTTCGGTATATATAGTAGCAGGTAGTTTGTAAATTTTACATTTGACAAAGACTTGGTGTTGTCGAAACAATTGTCATGTCAATATATATAATTTCGTGAAAATCTGAACTTTTAGTTCTTATTTATTTTGATAAATGGATTTTCATCAAGTAAAAGCCTCCTCAGTTCAACTAAACTAATTAACCAAAATCATACATACATTAATCAAATAATCGGCTAAGATTGCATGTCACTATTTTTTCGATTCGTAGTGAGTGAAAACATAGTTTTCGCTCGTTTGACGACATAAAAATCGTTTACGTCGTTCGCGGACAAAACAGGTACCATTTACTTTCGAAACCAATTTGCTAAATATCAACGCTTGATTTGCTAATACTATTGTTACTCGTGCGAATTATTCATGAGTGACGTACTATTGCAAAATGGAGACTTCGGTTGATATACCAAGTGTAAATAAAAACTTATTAAAGAGAGTGTCGCCGCATTGAAATGATACCTATGCTAACGAATCGCCGAAATGTCAATTGAAATAGGCTTCAGATATGGTAATAATGTTTATCCCAAATGTGAAACCTTTACTCTTACGGGGCGTTCGTTTTAAGTGATAGCCCCATTATCATATCCTACCATTCAACACTCGCTTACAATGTTTCCATATTGCTTTTATCTTTATATCGTAAAAAACGCCTAAATCTATTTGGTGGATTATTTCGTGTACTGTTATTTTTCGAGATACAGTTCAAATTGAAAATAGAATAGAATCTTGAATCTGACGTTTTGTATTCGATGTGTCACCATCAACTTAATACGAACCTGGATATTACTGGATACTACATCAAAAGAATTTATTGCGTTAATTTCATGCAATTGGACTATAGCTATTTTAGTGTAAAAACGTTTATTGAGCAAAATGCCATTAAACAAATAAAGTTAAAAAAATGAATTTATTTGTTTGAAAACTTACAAGAGGTTCTATTTTTGACAATGTTATTCAAAGAAAACTTCCTTACACCGTTTTTTCCTTATTTTGTAAAACTATTTAATGAACAAAAAGTAACTATTTTCATTGGTTTTGTACACGTCTTATACAATTTTTAGATACTAAATGGTTCGTTCTATAAACTATTATCTTTTTTCCACTTTTCTTCACTAAATTAGGATAATAATATCATGCTTTACTAAATTCAAGTGATTGCTGTTGTATGTTGACAATAACACTAACATAATCTGAATTCAAGAATATGTGAGAGTATTTCCAAATAAATAAATCAAACCCGATCGTAGAATTATAAAAAGAATTGGATAACGGACATTTATCATGAAATGAAAGGCATGATTTAATTGTAGTGTTTGGTACACTTACCTGATTTATGGAATTAGGTGTGGACCAAAAAATTGATAATCGTAAGCTAACATTATTGTGGAACATGTGCCGTTCACTTATGTATTTCAAAACCATCAGCTCAAATATAGTTTCACATAAACCTACATAATTCATTTTAGCCGACATGGCATTTGTGTTTAAACACATTACTTTAACGGACACCAAGTGAGAGCTGCAAAGAAAAATTTCAAACAAAAAAACTATGCTATTACAACCTCAGAAAAATATCAACGGCGTTTTTAACATTTGCTCTCTTTATTTCAGACTGCTATACTGACACTGATATTGGTTCCGGTCAGGGTCGGACTAATATGTTTCTTCGTCATTACTGGCTGGATGCTTGCGACAATCGGACTGTTCGGAATCACAGAAGAAGAGCTGCGAGACAGGCCTTTGGAAGGCTGGAGAAAGTAAATACCGAAATCATTCGTCATGTATTATACGTTTCAGTCGGTTTTTGGTGACTGGCGCTTACATTGAGTATTATGTGCACAATATCATTTTGTATTATTTATACAGCATACTAACTTCTTTAGATGGTTCAGCTTTAAGATGCCATAATCACAATGTCCGAATGGCTGAATATATCGGGTCGTAACTAATTCATAGGTGAAAAGCTGTCAATTTGCAGGTTATTTAATTAGAAAACGGTTTACGTTAGGAAACGAAATTAAGGCTGAGAGTTTTATTACTACCAACATGGTAGATTTTGATTTTAAGCACTGCGTTTCACCATCATCAATTTCAATTTTTTAAACACGGACCTACATTTTTTTCAGTTTTTGGTTTCTTTAGGTATTCTAAACACGGTAATGTTTTGTGTATTTTTATTATTCAGTGTATCCAATATAAGAATATCGAAAATTATAGAAGTTTTAAAAAATAAGACGATAAATGGCAACAGACTTTTTTAATTTGTTTTCGAGATACATCACAAAAGCAAAATTTGGTTTATTTTATAGAAGGCCATGGAAAATTTAAAAAAAAAAACAAAAGTTCTAAACTAATAACATTAAAAATTTCAAACAAAATATATTTACTTACTAATTTCATTGAAATAACTTGGAAATATACAAATAATAATTCAAATTCATAAAGTGTATTTCAATAGTTGCTACACATATTTCATTAAATAATATTGTTGATAGTAATAGATATATTCCCTGGTATGTTTGGCTCGAAATGCTTCTAATACTTCCACCAAAACTATTTGTGGTTTTGGTTAGTTTTAGTTAGCATCGTATGATACATAATTATAAAAAAAAAGCTTTTCTCTATCTATTAATGAAAATATTCAATATGGCGCCCATAAGAAAATTGAGAAATCTATGGTCATGCAGAAATCATTTTAACATTTCAGTTTCTGTTAAAATTTTTCTAAACTTCCCTGATTTAACCGTAGCCATCGCTGGCTAAATCAAGTCGGAACAGAAATAAAAACTACGGCAAATTTAAACACTATCATCAATGCTGCCTCTAGGAATTATTATAATTCAGTATTTCTCAACCCTCTAGAGCGGCCTGGGGGCACAACGGGCCCATCTGGTGGCCTAAGTGCTTGGACGCCCGCGAGGGCGCCCCCCTTTAATACCAATACCAATACCAATACCAATATTTCTCGACCCTTATGCGCTACTAAAATATAAATCGTTGTATTCGTTTTTTGAAGTTTTTTTTGTAAATAAGTGTATCCAATGAGGACATGCAACCATGCTTTCTTATATGCAGCTTTACATTATTAATGGTTCCATCATGATATCGTGATTGTTTGGACGTTATTGAAACGACATTGATATAATTTAAATAAACCTCAATTTCGCCCTGATACCGAATTGGTATGTTCTTGTATTATCTTGCTCAACACGAAGACCATGGTCGGCATGATTGTGTAGTAGGACATTAGAATATTTGAACAGGTGTGGTTACGGAAAACTCATTCATAGCTGGGAGCAAAATTTGCCAATAATAGTTATATAATGAAACTGTGACTCGTTGGATAATAAACAACGTATAATATTCAATATTTCGTTTTTTGAAACTGAACCACGAAACCAGTAAATTAATATTTGTGCTAATAGCGAGAACCCGTTGAAGCGCTGAAAGAAAAAACTAGTGATATGTTTGTGCCCAAAATGAAGATTTGAAAACTCGACAACTTTTGGAGCTGCCACATATTTTTTTGCAATTTATCCGACAAATTTGAGATTCGCTCTTAAATTATGCGACGTCATTTCAATAACACACTGTATATATTGTACATTAACCACCGGATCAATGCCGTTTTCTTCGCAGACACAACAAAAAGGTGTGCGCCAGAATAATAGCTTGTGTGTTCTGGATCGGCGGTTTTCGACTTAAGGTGGTCGGAAAAACCACGACGAGACACGAGGCTCCGGTAGTGGCGCTCGCGCCACATTCGTCTTTCGTTGACAGTTTGGCCATGGTGTATATGGGTGGGCCTTCGATAGTGGCCAAGGGGGAAACCGCGTCTATACCCTTCTTTGGGAGTACGTGCTGGTTTACGGATTCCTTTGCTTTGACTTCCAAGAACTTTGCCTCGCTATTAGTCTCCGTATATGAATGATATCAATAAATGTTAATTATAAGGGTGATTTCTGAAGGATTTTAAGGTATCAGCGTGTCGATTTTTATTTTTATTTCAGTTTTTTCTGCATAATGCCGTATTATATTTTTGGTTAAGATATTAGATTCATCAATCATTTTTGTGTAAAAAAGGTCCTTTATTAGAAGTCGCTAGGCACATCCATTTTTGACGTAATATAAAAATAACTTTTTTAATTAACAAACATTATTTTTAAACTACTACTACTAAAAAACGAACACCAAATAAAAACGTAGTAACAAAATATATCAAAATAACAATGAGTGTTGGAACTACAGAAATAATGAAAATAAAACTGATGGAATGTATCACGAAAGAACGCATTTTAATAGTAACTTTTCGCCTTAAAAATACTTGAAAAATCACCCTGTGAAATATTGGACACTTATACAATGCTCTTAACAGAATGTCCTAAACGTCCTAACTGTGGAATAGCTTTAACGTCTAGATATTTTTGTGAGATAACCGTTCCTTCTATTTTTACCAGTGGCGTACGTCAAAGAAGAAAATTGTACGCCACTGACATTTGTTGACATGAAAATGAAAATGTTGAAGTTAAAGTTAAAAGTTTCTTTTTTGAAGATACAAGTCTAGTTAGGCTGGAATAAATTATAGCTTATAAACGTCATTGTTACATAACTTTTCATTGTTCAGTATCTCTCTAAAGTTAAGACCTTGAGAACATCCGTTCATATGAAAGTTTTTTCTTAAAATGAACTTAATAATTATCAGCTCCAGTATTGAGATTTCAATAAAGAAGAGAGAATCGATATGCGCATGCCCGAATTATTTCCAATCTTTCACCCAATGAACAGCGGTGTTTGGAAAGAAAATAGCACAAAGTACGCAAAAGGTTAATGCAGATGTGAAATTTAGGGGCATGCGTTAAAGATCACCCCCTCCTGTACGAAAATGGCGTAGCCATCCCAGGTGCATTAATTTAAAGGTATTTTCAGTATTACTTAATAGCTCTATGGGTTTCTCAAATCGATAGCGAGGCAAAAGTTCTGTCACACCAATAATACAAAACTCTCCTGTTGTTGATACACGGTGATGGTTATCTAACGATTTGTATTCTTGGCTCTGCATGTTCGAAATTTATTACTAACGATTTCACCTAAATATTAACTTTGTACAGTACAAACCTGATAGTTTCGTAAACTCCTAACAACCAACCTGTATATGCGGAACATTTTAAAGACAACTTATACCATATGCAAGGTAGATTGCTTTTGGACTAATGAGCTTCCGCGGTTTTTGACATTTGTTTGTTTCTCGTCCACGTAGGAAACTGAAAAGCATCATTTGTTTCTTGGGTCAGAGCAGTTTGCTAGCCGGGGGCATGCGTTTCAAGGTCAAAGGGAGACAGGCCTCCCGCAAAGAAGCTCCCATCTTGGTGGCGGCGCCCCATTCATCCTTTTTGGATGCGGGGGTGGTCTATATGACCGGTCTGCCTTGCAATATATGTAGACGAGAAAGCGGCAACGATTTTCACATAGGAAGTAGGTGCTTTTTCCTTATTTTGTTAAGATTTCTGCTCTACGCGGATGTTTACTGCTGTTCCCGCTAGTCTCCCACTTTTTTAGAAAGTATTATCGCCCAACGCGATTTTGGAGCAAGAAATTCTAGTAATAAAATTTAAAACATCAAAAGTACATTTCTAAATTACTAAGCTATATTTTTATTGTATCGTATTGGTAATATTATTATTATTAGGCTGAAAAGTACTTGCATTGACAGCAACATAAAATATCCAAACAGGTTGCTAACCCAATTGGGAAGCTTAAAATTTAGTAAAAAAGTAGACCAATCCGTTAACCAGGTATTCTATTGGCTAAAATAAGTGATCTTTTGTTTTTAAAATATAGGGTCTCAAAATTTATTAGTAGCTCCGGTGTATTTTAAACATGTTATTCTTTAACTTCCGAGTCTTCCTTATTTAAAGTTAATTTTTAAGTTGAATTTGTTGACAGTTTGTCTAACTTGTTTGTCTTCTTTTCAAAGTGGAGATATTTTTACTTATCTGGTCCTATCTTGCGATTTTCAAACAGAGGAAAATAACAAAAATTTATGTTTTACAATTTTTCTTTAATTCACTTTAAGAATACTACATGAAAAATCTAAGGTTTAATAAAAACGTTCGAATGGACAGTGGCATAGAAGTCCTATTGTCTTAGCAAAAAACACAGCTTATTAACGGATTTCCGAACCTTTTTGTACCTTCCTATATAATAACATTCTTATTATACAATAGACTATAAAACTAACCAAAACTTTTAGAAAAGGAAAAACCGAAATATAAACCTGAAAAGATTTTTTTATTAAATCAAATAACAATCGCTCAAATGACGCTTTATTATTTTATTCTCGTATTTTACTTATGTTGCTGAAGTCTATATTTATTAAAAGTAAAAAAAATCCGGATATTTATACCAGTGTTGAAATATCTACAATTTTCGCGCCTTAAACGCGCGATTTTTAACACTTGACCCGCCAAATAGTTAGTATCGAATAGGAACCAACAACCAAACCAAGTTAATATTTAGGTCAATCAAAAGCGCACTCAAATTGACTCACACGTCAGCCGAATGCTCAAGGGCAAGAATTCGTTTCAGAGTTAATCAACTACACCCAACCAATATACGTATGGAGAGACGACCCGGACTCTCGACAGAACACAATAAAAGAAATAATAAAAAGGGCTACTTCGGACTTAGATTGGCCGCAGATCTTGATATTTCCAGAGGGAACGTGCACAAATAGGTCCTGTCTGATTACTTTCAAGCCGGGGGCGTTTTATCCTGGAGTGCCCATCCAGCCGGTGTGCATAAAGTACCCGAACAAACTTGACACCGTTACTTGGACTTGGGAGGGGCCCAGCGCGTAAGTTGAATTATCTAAGGTTTTTTCGACATATTTGACGCTAATAAGCAATCACTCTTTAAATATTCGCAAATAGTATACTCAATAGACTTCGAAAAAAGTTCTTTACGTAGGAGGGAGTTTTGTACTCCAAATCTCTAAGAGTTGGGGTAAAAAATGGTTTTACTAAAGTGGACAGATGAAGACCGTTGAAAATATTTTCAGATTTCCAGGATGGTGCCCAGGAGGCGACCAAAAAGATACATTCTTTATTAAGCTAAGCTTAATTTTTGTTTAACGCCTTTTGAAATTTGCAAAATTATCTAAAAAACTAAGATGATGACTAATGAAAACCGTAAAACCTAAAATATTGAAGAAAGGACAATTCTAATTCTTCTTGTACTGCCCTATCTGTCTTCAGACGTTGGCAATCATCTTGGTGATGATGTTTTGAAATCTGTCATGGTTGGGAATTGTCCTAAATAGGTGTCCAAGCGGCAGTTCGCAACCATGACAGTTTTTTTACGTTCAATCCTTCGCGTGCCCTCCGCTTCGCTCTGGATGATAGGGCGAAGTATATGGTTTTGGATCGCCTAATAATATGTCTGTTAATATGTCATTGCTTTTATGGTATTTATGGTGTCCTGCTGGTGGTATTAGTATGTTGTTTACTTTTCTTTAGACCTACCCAATTCAGTCGTATATTAGTAATTAAAACAGAATGGATCCTCCAATGAAGCCACATAGGCAAGCCGCGACTCTAATTAGGGCTGAACTCTGTACGAGGCTATCGTTATTGAACCCGCAAACACAGCTTTGTCAACAATATACGATCAAAGGCCTTTGGGATGTCAGTCACATTAAGCTTCAAACAATGTTGGACAAGTCAAATGAGCTGGAATATTTTCACAAAATTCAAATTGTTCTTTAATTACTTTTAGCAACTGAATATTCCCTCTATAAAGAATTTTTCGGAATTTTCAAAGCGGAAACGGTATTTTTTACCATAATTTTAAATTTAGTAAAATGACAAGTTTAGATTTTATTTAATCTATTCGCCTTTACAATGAGAAATAATAAAAATACCCACTTAAACTATACAAGTTTATGGTATAAAAACAATTCTTTTGTTGCGCTGAAATGGAAAGCAATCAACATAGAAACAAAGTACATTTTACGAGTGTGTTTTATTACTAGAAACGCAATTTTACGTCGCATTGTATTTCATGGCGAATTAACTTAGCGCAAATTCAAAACTTTAGTTTTGCATAATTTGATTTTACACACTTAACGATACAGAAAACCATAAAAAAACTAGCCACATAAAATTTCTCCGGACCCTTTTCCTTTTAATGCCAATTGTTTTTGTAAAAACTTTAGTGAGACTTTTGCAAATAATTAAGTAGTTTTCATTTGTTATTTATCCTAAAGCTAGTTATGGGTCATTGCATGGTTACTCAAAGATCAATATTTAATTTAAACAGTTTCATTAATATTAATTATTACTAATTGTAATATTACAATAAATTTATGGAGATAACTTTTACCTTTCTTCACACTTTTAATATATCTTCAAAAATGCAACTTGGTTAAAGCTTCTGAGAAGTTGGCACATAAAAAATAAATTATAAAAAGTTTTGGTAATTCAAGTTACATTAAACTTGACGTTTAAATTTTTGGACAAAAAAAAGTAGAATTTATTATTACTTTCGTTCCTCTTCTTAAAAATGATAAGCTGTTTGTAATTGCAATTTCAGAAATATAATAATATAATTTTCATTCATTCATTCAGTTATTCATTCCTTTACTTAGGTCTTCTATTTCTTTACGAGTAACGTTGATAACTTGACATGTTAACTTTCAACGACTTTTACAAATTGCGCTAAATTAAATACTACCTCTGTACAACTTCGAGTTTTCCATTTGACTGGAGGTGACATGAACCTTGAGTAGTTAGTTATAATATTCATATTCTGCGACCCCCACTCAGCGAAGGAAATATTGAGCCATCATTTCCAAAGGATGTACCAATTTCTAACTCACCAACCAAAAAAAAAGATGTTTTAGTTTCGCAACTCGTCACGAGATGGCAGCACACTTTTGATTTTACATTTTACATCCCACGTATACAGGACAGTTCTTCGAAATGCAAAACCCGGGCTAAAGACAAGTATGAAATGCTCATCGATATAAGAAAGTGACCAATTGCTTTTGAACGGATTATCGAAGGGTTGTTATTTATTATTATAATTTTGTTGCATGGTATGTTAATGACCAGCCTTGGATAATCCGTTCAAAAGCAATGAGTCACTTTCTTATATCTGTGAACAGACCATACCTTGCATTACTTAAAAGCAAATGATATACAGACGTCGCTAAATTAGATGTTATCCAAAATTTCACGTTTAAAAAGTCAGTGTTCTAAAAACAAACAAATACCTAGTATTTTCTAATTCAATTGCAGGTTAAAGCTTTTATGGCTGACACTGACGCAAATTTCAAGCCATTGCGAAGTAGAATTTTTACCGGTATACACCCCAAGTGAGGAAGAAAAACGAGATCCAAAGTTGTTTGCGAACAACGTTAGGGCGGTAATGGCCAAGTGAGTCCGACAATCGCATAATAATGATGTATTTTATTTTGTCACCATCAATTCCGTCTTTTAGGGCTCTTGGTATACCGGTAGTTGACTATTCTTATAACGATTGCAAACTGATGACGAAAGCCAAAGAGATGAATTTGCCGCTAGCAACTTCTTTGGTTGAGGTCAGAAAACTGAGGCGTAAATTAGGGTAAGTAATAGATTCAATTATTAGAAAGAATCCATCGGTGTTCAAAAAATTCGTCGTTATCTAATATAAAAAAATCCCTAGTTTTTAACGTAAAGAAATCAACGTCACGAATTTTAGATTTTCACTTAGCACCGAATCTTTTGAACTGTACTTTAGTTGACAAATATTAAGCAATGAATAACTCTTATCAATGCTCACTGCATTTAATACTAACGTGAAAATAACATGGACTTATGGAAATGTACATTACCAAGTGCACTTTGAGCTGCGTCTTAGCCATAATGGAAACATTTCAATTTCAGATTAGAGAGCAGTAAAATAGAAGAGAAAGTACTAAACACGAACTACGCATGCAGGGATTGCAGCAAAGTTTCGTTTATTGAATTTGTTCAGCTTTTGAACATTCCACCGAACGAGCCTGCTGCTCAGCAATTGTTCAGGATATATGACAAAGTATGTTTTTAATTTTTCATTCATTTTGTTGTCCTTTAATATGAACGACCAGATAAGTTACTGGAAGAATGTCTAAAAACCAGCAGGAATTGTATGAACAAAAGTCCACTCGTCTCTTCACTCTTCTTTCACAAGGTCAAACTCTAAAAAATAGTTTATTTATTGCGAAAGAATCTTGCTTCGAGTTCCCTATTTCCAAAAGCGAGAAAAACATTAAAAAAATTTATACACTGAACATTTTCCGGCGGATCATAGTTTCTTTTAATTGGCTTTTTCGTATTAAGTTTGCTCGATGATGATTCATCCTTTAGAACGAAGATGGCGAAACATCTATATCTTGCACTATGACAGTAGTTCCAATCCCATGGAGTGTGTGTACTCCTGTTATTAACTCATTTAATTAATTAATCAATCAATATGAAATGTTTTGTTATCTTTTTTAGGACAACACCGGTCGCATGGATTTCAGGGACTACATACTCGGCGTTATCGGTACAGATCCGAACAGAAGCATTTTAGACATTGTGAGACTGGCTTGTCAAGTGAGTTCTGTATTTTGAGTTCCACTAATTTACGTCTCAATCTTACGCAGTTATTCTCGCAATTCCAGATGTATGACAACGGCAAACACGGCAAAATAACAGCGGAGGACTTTTGCAAGGCGATATGCCAGACTCTGGCATTAAGTAAAGATTATGCCCTCGAAGTATTCGATCAGGTCGATAGAAACCAGTTGGGCTACATAACGTTCGGTAAATCTACACTTTTTGATAACGTTTTCGGCAGGCCTTGGGTTTTCGATTCTCTGTTTTAGAAAACTTCATTAACTACGCTCAGAAGAAAGCCGAGTTTTCGGATCTTTTCAGCCTCAGCACGGAGGAGAAATTTTGCCCGAAAAACGGAAACCTTTGCGCGAATTCGCTCGATAAAAAGAAAGACTGATCCCCGTGTGCGATCCACATGTAAAGTTCGGTATTCCACTTTTTACTACGCGCGAGGTTCTTTGTATGCAGTGTCTATTCCCATAGGTAACGCTATTATTCGACACTAAAAATCACATAGCGCGTTACTCTGTTTAAACTCTGACGGAATGAAAACCTACAGAACCACAAAACTAAGCAGTTATAATAAAACCCTGCAAGTAACATCACGGGAATTTAATTGAAGTGCAACCGGTTTAGCTGAAATTAAATTTACTAGGGTTTTCTCGATGACCCTTATACATTATGCAACTGGACTTCCTCTGACTTCCATAGATTTTAACTTCTCTTATTTGCCAATTCTTCCAAAAGTAATATGGTGTGCCAACATATCCCATTCCCTAGTATTCCACACTGAATTTCATGCCAGACGGCCAATAACAAATTTTGAACCATAATTTGGCTTCTTTTTGTTTTTTACTTCTAATCGGTAATTTTATTTATTTTTTTGGCTGAAGAAAGCGTATACGCAGACAAACTTTTTTCTTTCGATTAAATTTCTATGGATATTACATTGCACGAAGGGTAGGTCAATGCTCCCCAAACTTGGGATATAGTCTTGTACAATATGTTAATATTTACTATTTATTTTATTACTAGAATAATATCGTTAGCATAGAATCAACCACAATAAAGTCAAGTGGATAGTTTTTATAGAAGTCGCCGCCTATAATTCGCAATTCTCGGAATAATGTTAACTACTTCAACCATCATTTAACAAATATTTGTATATTTTTAGATAGAAAATAGGATTACGACATACTCGAATTTACTGCGCTGTCTGCGGTTTATTTTGTTGTATCATGTTTATTTTAAAAATATAAAAATGAAAGCAGTCGAGTTGACCGTTACTTTTGCTCCTACCGATCCCATAGACTTTATAAATAGAAGATATTTCAAGATATGATTGAAATGAGTAGGGTTAACGTGCTTATTTTCAACCAGTTAACCGAAGCTTTCACTTTGACATCTAATAAATTTAATAAAAATAGACAAATTCAAAATGTCATTGCGTTTTATGGTTTTTCAAAGTTTTAAAATAAGCATTATAAATATCATAACCGGCCAAAACGGAAATTTCTTAAGTAGATCAACTAGGTAAGCCCAGATAAAATAAAACAAAATTCAGAACAAAATATTATATTATGTAACAAGTGTGGTAAATGGCGAGTGATTAAAAAAAGACTGACAAAAAGTTTTGCTACGCCCTTCTGTAAAATACCTAATTACACATCGATCGAGCGTGCAAAAAGCGTCACTATATAACGTAAGTTTGTTGTCCCACGGATCCGAGCCTCTTCGGACATTTCCGGGATATTACGGCAGGGGTTTGTGGGTAATCGGATGTTTCGGAGAATTTACCGCACGGCTTGAATTTTGACGTTGACGGTCATGTCAGCGAATGTATTTGTGTTCTTTTCCAAAAATGTACCAAAAAACTCTAACGATCGTATAAAACGTATAATATGCAAAACGTAATTTTATTAAACACTTAAAAAACACTCGTGCAAAATAAACTCGTGATTCAAATGCCGGTTACCGCACTTGTATAATATAACGTTGTTCGTAATCAAATAAGAGTGTTTTAAGATTTGACGATAATTTTGAATGGCATTCGCGATTAAATAGCAAAATGGTGAGAAACTAAATCCAGCCGGCAAGTCAGCACATTAACTCTATGTTATGGTACCAAATATTTTCCAGATTTTTACAATTTAGATTTAAAAATAAACTACAATAAAAACTCTGTTATCACCCAACAATTTATTTACAAAAAAACAATACATACAAAAATAAATTTATTTTTTGGTAGAAAACTTTGTCAGTCGTAAATGATTATTGACTAGTTTTTTTTTATTTCCATAAAAATTTTACTAGGTAAGCTTTTTAAACCCAGAAATTTGGAATTATGGCGCCTCATTACATTTTCAATTATCTGAGGTCGCATTTTGGTAGGAACATCATTTAAGTCTAATTGTTTCATGATCCATTCTTCAATCTGGTCGTTGCTGAACTCGTCAAATACAACAACTTGTTGATCTATATTAAAATTTTGCAGGTATGCAGCAATGTCAATAATATCATCTGCTCGAATAATCCTATTAAAATTCTCGTCAACTAAGATATTGGAAAACACACTTATAACCAGAACACTGTAATCATCTCTTATTAATTGTACAAATTTTACCAAATTATCTGTATCGGGTCTTCTCAAATCATCCACTACTATCAAATTAAAACAATTTACATTTATAACAGACAAAACATTCTGGATTAGGGCTTTGTTATTTAAATCTGAATTGTATAATTCATGGACGCATTTGCTTAAGAAATTTGCTTTCAGTATATTTGCAACGAAAGTTTTACCTACACCTGGAGGACCAATAAAAGCCAACATTTTGACTTTACCCTCTCCTGCAGTTTGATTGTCAATGGTTTTCAAAATTATATTCACTGCACTTCTTTGCAAATAGACCTTAAGTTTTAGCTCAGATTCCAGTTTCTCAAGATTCAAGTACCTTGGTTCGCCATGGAAAATATTAACATTTGTCAAATAACCACAACAGAATGAGAATGCTGCTACAAGTACTATCACAAATAGTACCGTAAAATAAATATTTTTGAAATGTTTTTTTCTTTGTTCTATTGCCATATTTGTTAAAATCGGATGTGAGTCAGTCTTAAGATTCCTGAGCCTTAAGTTTCCCTTAATTCCTGAATCTTCAGAATTTTGGGGGTCATTTAAATCTTGAGAAGTTTCTTTAAATGAATCAACCTCCATGGGAACACAATCGTTTTCCACAGTAAAGGGTTTACTATTGCAATTCTTACTTACAATACTCTCATCACTCAAAAGGTTTAAACTTGAAATCCCGTCATTCAAATGTTTAGTGATATCACTTTGGTGAATGTTGCTAGTAGAATGCCACTGATTGAGTGTTGAAAATTTAAAACCTAAAAAAAATATCAATATAGGAAAATAGGTATCTCCATTTCTTAATGTTACCCGGAATTTTATTGCAGTTTAGATTTGGTATGATTTCCTCTACGCACATGGTTCGCCTAATAATAACTGGACTAGGCATCGGAGAAAACGTAGCGAGCAAATTGGAATCTGAATACGACCTGTCCCATGTTCGTTCCAACGAGTCCATTTCATAATATTTATAGAATTTGAAACCAGTAATACAAACTTCCTAATCAGCCTTCAAATTATTCTGACGGTTAAAATCATAGATGTGATTATTAGTCATTACGAACACTTCTTCTTCTATGCTGTTCCCATGAGTCAATACTCTGAAGACGCTCTCGGTAATACCCCGACACTCTCGGGGAATTTTGACTTTTTGATAACAAACTGACATATATTCTACGACTTTATTTACTGGTTACTGATATGATAACGCTTGTTAACAAAAAATTTACAAACCGGCACCAAATCACACCCATCTGCCGGTAGGGACCATGTGCAAGGCTCGTGATAGAAATCCGATTACTAAATAATAAAATCACGTTTATAGTCAATCAAACAATATATTTTACATTAAATACATTCTTTAATAATGGTTCGGCAGATTAAAATAAAACGAGATTAATCTTGTTCGTTTTTCTGCATTAAAAAAAATATATCCACAGGAATTCTTGACGGGTGACGGTACTGACCGAGTGATTCAAGTTCAAGTATGCGTTTCACAAAAAAATGTTGGGCTCGACTGCTAGGATCAGTCGCCCATTGCCGACTTCCGTCGAGGATCTTCGCTTTTGGTCATTGACCAACACGTACAAAGAAGACATATAACCAATATTTGCTCAACTAGCAAAAAAACAAATTTGACCGATACCAAAAAAAAAACCGACACCCCCCGCTACCACCATGGACCATCCGGGCCCATCCGGCCTCCATACCGGCGTGAACGGGGAAAAACGACGGGGCCGACGACGATTATAACTTTAAAACATGCACTGAACACTAACAACACTAAGTCCATACAGTGGAAACCGATATCAAACTTTTGAGGACGAATACAAGGGATTCTGTCGGGAGCGAACGGAGGTTAAACCGCCGCGTGCAATGCTCCACCACAGAATCACTGAGCGAGTGCTGATTCATGACCCGATAAAACGAAGAAGAAAACAAAAAGGTTAAGAAAACAACTCGACCAAATTATGTTGGCAATATTGGCCAATAGCATTAACGGTTTCTGGCAAACTTAACCTTTAGAAGTAAATATAAAAATTATCTAATCCTAACCAATTTTATTTTTCAACAAAGTATTTCCAAAAATGGTCAACAAATTTTTGGATGTTTTTAAGCTAACAATATCCCTTGCAGGTTTGATATCAACATTTTATGCCGTTATCGAGCTAACGTACTTCCTTTCTGTGCCAAGAACAGTAAAGTTATCCGCAAAAGGTTTGATAATATATCTTTAATAAATGAAATATTACATGAACACATCGTAGATCCATGGCTTGAATCGTCTTGGGCTTTGCTTGTTGATATGTGCTTGCTCACTTTGTTTATTATACAACATTCCACTATGGCCTCTGAATCATTTAAACACTTTCTATATTCCTATAAAATTCGAGAAACACAACGAAGTTTGTATGTGATTTCTACTGCTGCCTTCATCTGGGTCTGTTTATGCAGTGTGATAAGCTTTATAATTATTTACTTCATCGGATTTTGCAGATATTGATTAAATATTGGCAAGTAGCGCCAATTTTAGCTTTGTGGCAGTTGGATTTCAGCTATAAGCCTGCTTTATGGCTTTACATTGGAATCCATTTTATGGCTTGGATTATCATATATGTTGCCAATATTTGTACAGACGTCACAGAGCTACTGGGTATTAAGCAGGTAACTAACATTTTATTCATGCAAGTACAGCAAGTGTCTCAAGTAAAATTTCAAGGTTTACTACAGTTTGGTGAATCTGCCAGATCCAAATCGTAGGAAATCGTATCAGCTAAGGAAACTTACAACTCATATGAGACATCCAAGCTTTTTAGGTTTTCTCTTGATATTCTGGTTCTTCCCTGTAATGACGTAATGAAAACCTTTTTATTGAAATCCCTTGATTCCTCTTATACTGATTTATTTTAGGCTAGATCGACTCTTGTTAGCTGCGATTCTAACTTCGTATATGTACATAGCTTGGAATACTGATGGGGAAGATTATGAATACCAAAAGTCAATGTATCAGAGAAAGTATCATGAGCTTCAGAGACTGAACTCCCTTAATTGAGCAGAATTGCAATTTACTTTTGTACTATAAGTTTCTATGATTAGTTTGAACTGCTTTTGACATTTTTGTACTAGTATGTAGCTGCCCAAGTATTATGACATTTTTTAAAAAATAAAAATTGCTTACTTAAGCAAGGAAGACAATTTTTTTCATCAGATGTTTTATTTTCACTCACTTCTCTTAAATTTTTTTCCAATCACTAGATTCTCATGGGACATGAAAATAATGAAAAAAAAAATACAAAGCACATATTTTAATAAGAAATACCAACATTGTATACAGATTTTAGCACTCCATTTTGGCACAAGTTATAAAACAAGAGATCTGTTTTCTTAAAATTAGGTTTAACCATACAAAGACATCGTTCGACAAGATTATGGCATTCAGAATACTTGAGAAAAAGTTAACTATACAAGTAATATTGGTCAGATCACACAGGGGAACATATTTAGTAATACGTTGTGTAGTGGTGATATGGGGAGGCAGTTGGTGACGTTACGTGCGGTCTAGGGGCTAGTGGAGTAGGATGATATGGAGTCTGTGACACGTTCGAGTAGCCCGCGAACGGTGCGACGGGAGGCGACACAGGCCCCGTTGGCGTTGCGGACGGTAGAATTCTACTGTCACTTATTAATGGCCTTTGCTCGTGTAGCCTGGATTGATCCCCAAGTAATCTGCTTTCTTCGGTGATTAACCGGCTCTGATCAGTGGCTAAAGAATTGGTTTTTATGTATTCAGCAATTAACTAGGAAAAATATTTTATGTTACATAGAACTTAATTTTGCATGTGAAAAGTTAAACAACTCATGTTTTTTGTCATGAAAAAAATTGACAGATAAATATAGCACTGCAAAATAGAGTTTGTGGGTTAGGCGGCATTTGTTGTTCAATGTTATGAACCTCCATAAAAAGATAATGATTGAAAGTGTATAACGCAACTTACAAGTTAATGAAAACATTTTCACGCCTAAAATTTATTTTGCGTATAAAAATGAAGGCTATATTTATATATCAAGGTTTTTGCAATTTAGTGGTATACACAATGTATTTAGATTAAACACATTTTTACATACAGTACCTATTAAAAGTAAAAAAACAAGTTCAAAAAAATCTAACAAAATAATCAAAGCCAATTTGCCTGAAAACATAAAAAATTGTAGATATCCAGTAGAAACTCTATATAGCGAAATTGAAAGAACTGCTTATCTTCGTTATGAAAAGTTAAAGGGACTTGAAAAATAATATATGGCATATGTGTTTTGTAATAAGTAATATTTAATTATTTTATATAAATATTTTAACATCTAGTTAGTTGTTTTATATAAATATTTAAGAACTGCACTTAAGGTTTGAAATAATAATAATAATTTTGCCTATATTTTCGACGTTTCTTCAAGAGGGGCATCTTCCACATGATACGCAAAAAATTGCTCCAGCAAGCATCTTCTTCTTTCTCTTGGTACTCTTCCTCGTGGTTTCTTGTTTGTTGTAATATGGTTAATATGTTGTACGCCTGATCTACCACCATAAAATCTTACAACTCCTCACTTGCAAACACAATTGTTGTTTAAAACTGCTTTATCCACTCACTTAGTGGCTGATCATCTTCCAAGTCCTGCTCGCATTCTGTCTCGGTAATAAGTCCCGCATGACGATAGGAGTGTTGAGTTTTTTCTGCTGTCACCTCTTTCGAAGATTTACCAATAAAGGTTTTTTATTATCGTTCTGCTTTATCGGCTGTAATACACTTGTTCTGGCTGAAAAAAATGCCAATTCAATATTCCGTAAATTGGAATATGGAGATGTGCAGGGCAGTTATCTAAGAGAAGTAATATTTTCCTTCCCTTTAATTCTGCGTCCCATTTCCGTATCTCCTCGTCAAAAATTTGCGATGTCATCCATGCAGACTTCTTTGCCTCGTAAGTGACCAGCAAATGTTTGATGTTTTTAAAACATCGTGGGTTAGTTGCTATAAGTTTTTTAGAAAGATTTCCATCCATACACTTTTCACTACAAATTTAAGATTTCTTTTATTTCGCATCATTTTGTAAAAAATACCAGTTTCGTCAGCATTAAAAATGTTGTCAGCAGGGTACTTTTCTGGTAGTATCGGCCGCGTCTTCTCGACCCAATCAGCCAATCCTTCTGTCGACATTACAAGCTCCGCTACTTATCTGTCCCTAATTTATACTATGCCTCCGCTTGAACTTCCCCAATCATCCTTCTGACGCTGTGAAACGGATAATGCCAAGCTTAGCGAACTTTTTTGCTTTTAGTTAAACGATAGGACTGAAGAGTGGTACATTGTTAAGACGTTGCTGTTGGAATCACTTCAACATTGCCGGATCTAAATCTTAAAATTTGGGCTTTCATAGGTTTTTACTAGAACTACCTGCCGTTTAAGCAAAATGTTTCGCTTACTCACTAATTTGAATTAGAACTGATTGAAACTATGGTGTGCTTTTATACATAGGGATAAAGAAATTAACATAATCGCTTATTACGAGAAAAACACTTTGGACGACCAGGTTCTCGGTAATTAGATTATTAGGGAAAAGCCGGCTACACACGATCCGACAGGCCTGTCAGTTCGAACTGAACAGTCCGCCTGAAGACCAGTCGCCTGAATGTGTATATGTTCCGGTCGAACTGTCAGTTAAGACTGTTCAGGCGGACGGAGAAAATTTCAATCAATCTTTACGCCACACCGCACGTTTTTTTTTTTTTGAATTTCGTTTTGTGCAAAGCAACTACTAAGCCGGGAAGTAGTAGCAGCAGTAGAGACACTTAATAGTACAACAAATTTTCGTAATGCAGAGTTTCGCTATAGGGAGTTTTCACCGTATATTTATTGCGTAATAGTAAAGAAAGTAAATATATGTACACACTTAAATAATAATAATAATAATAATAATCCTAATTATGCTTTACTCACTTAGCAAATGATCGTTATTTCCTAAAATCCTATTAGTAGTGTGGTCCGACAGTATCCTTCCCCCACTTTCGGAAAGCAACCGACCGTCCCCTAACCTACCCCCACTCAAATCACCCGTTAACAATCTGGTCTGATCCAAAAGTCTGTGGTTGCTTTGGAGGGTGTGTTCCGTTAACAGCCTTCAAAATGATCATGAAAGCTACTTAACCTTAAACGTTGGCTTGGTGAACCTAACCTGGTGTTGGCAATCTGGTGCAACGGGTGACTCCTCAAACTCAAATCTACGCTGTGACGTCCGGGTGGGGTCAAATCCAAAGATACTACCCTCATTAGGTCGTACGGCGGAGGCGGCGGACTATAATTTAATCTCAAGTCCACCCTGTCCACATCCGGGTAAAGATGGTGGTACCGATTTATGTTTGAATAATTGTGGAAACTCCTAGCTGACATATCCAAACCCTTATTTAAAAAAATATATTTATAAAATTGTTATAAAAATATGCAACATATATATGTCACATTCAGTAGGTCTACTTCACTCTATGTTTAGATTTAAATAACATGGTGAACAAAACATACTTCAAAAGATCTCGCTTTATAATTACACTATACGGTGTGGGTGTTTTCTACTTTTAAGTATAATACTTAATGAACTTTCATAATTTTTAAGGCACATACATGACCGTATTTAAGCACTCGTGTTTTAAACTTAATTGTTGACAGGATCACTTGATAACAGTAAACCATTTTAATTCGACTCTTAACCATTTTATATTTGAAATATGAAGTTAATTATAAATGTAGTACAAGCCCTACAATGAATTTGAATTTAGTTTGGTTGCTTTAAAAAATTTTAAATCTTTTTTTGAACAATGAAATTTAAAAAAGTACATTCAAACCCTTATAGGTATTGATATGAAGTAATTGACAAGAAAACTTTTGCAAGGATGAATAATATAGTCTTCTGAACGTACCGAAACAAAACGATCAACCACTCTTTGATATGACGGACTCAAAAATCTCTCCGCTAAATAATGACATTCAATTAGAAAACGCTCTGTATAATCATACCTGAAGCTCCGATGAGTTCAACACGAGCGGTTCGAAATTTCTGTCGGTCCTAAAATCCGTTTCCACGCAGTCCACAATATCGTAACCCTTGTTCCTGAATTCGAGATCGGTCCCTGTTGTAACGTTCTCGTAAGTCGCACTTCTTTGGCGAAGGATTTCCGCGTCAATGCTCTCGTAATTTTTCAACCTGAGAAAAATATTTCGTAACCCACGGTTCAACGTTAGGTAAATAATAAAACAAGCCTCATGTCCAGATCCAATTCGAATTTGCTGCGAATTTCCGCAGACAATTCGTCGTGGTATTTCAGCCTTTCGTCGGTTTCTTGAAGGCTGTTGGTCAGACTCGGGCCTATGTCTACTTCCGTTTCGAGATTATTAGTTCCGCCGCCGCTCGCTACCGTTCCTACACGTTGAAAAACATTTTCTTCGACATATGTTTTATTATTGGATTAATAGAATTAAAGTTACAAACAAATAACGCAATTTAAAATAATTAAAAAGAAAATATATTTCAAAGATATCTTTTTTCTTTTTCTAAACAGATATCTATAAAAATTTTACATTTAAATATTAAATAAACATCATAAGTCTAAAATTCTATGAGTTTTCGCGCTTTAAAATATATCCATATACAAGGTGTTGCAATAGTGTGGCAAAAAACTACATCTCCCTTATTTATCACTTTTTAAAATAATGGTTTAATATAAGTTACGTAAAATCAAAACACCAACATTTTAAAAAGAGACCCAATCGCACCATTCTATTCTCAAACGGCTGGGCCAAAAAAATCGACCATTTTGTTTCATAAAATAATGTATCCGCAAACATTCAGAAAGAAAGTTTGCCAAACAATTGAGGCAATAATATTGATCTGAATATAATTTGGTAGGAAATTGAATTATCCATAAAAAATCTCAAAAAAGATCAATACTCATTTTTACAAGAAAATTAAACAAAAATCGTAACATTAAAAAAAAAATTTTCACGATTGAACTTGAAGAAAAAAATGAAATCCTTGTTTTTTATCCGTTTTCACCTGATTTTTTCCACTAAGTGGATCAAATTTGTAGTCTACATCATCGAAAATTATTATATCAACAATTATATTGTTTTACTATTGAAAATTATTTATATACAATATTAACTAACCTACGATTACCTACGCCAAGAACTTGTTGTTTTTAAATTTCTTATGAAATCTGCATTACAAAAATAGTAAAAATGCTTGAGTTGCATAAATACTATTATTTTATGAGCCATAACCTGATTTATCTTTTCTACAAATGTGCAAAAAATTGACAATAAATAATTTTCACTAATAAAACAGTATAACTGTTATTTTAAAAAATTAATCAATGTATTAATGTTCAAGGGTTAATTTCTTAGAAGAGGGATCGTGCGATCAAAATTTGTAATCAGAGCTTTTTTTATAGAGAATTCAGATGAATATTTTTACCACAACCGTTTCAATGTTTTGACGCAATAATGGGATCAGGGCAAAAAAAAATAGTCCTCATACCATTAATATTAAGGTATCGGACTTTAACCATTTTTTTTTCGTCATTCTGAATGACTTTATCGATAAATATTTTTGCATATCACAACTCCTCCATGTTGTAATTGTTTTTGAATTTTTTGAATTGAATTATTGCGACGTTGCTATCTTAATGAGAAAAAATTTAAAATATTTATAAATATATAATTAATTAATAACGAAGTAATAAAATTAAATAAATAAAATAGCGTAAATCGGTAGTTTAGGGAAATTAACACAAGTAGCAGAGGGACAATACTATTTCCATTCCACTTCCATTTAAAAAATTATAGAAAAATTAGCTTTAAGACTTTGGTAAATACTCTGGACGAAACAATTAGCTGGGCGCTTTACTATACCCTTAGTAAAGATATTAAGGTCAATTTTTTATATTATAAAGGTAGCAGATTAAAAGACATAGTATCATTTCTTGAGGGAATCGTATTGTACAAAAATTTCTGAGGTGTCTCATAAAAAAAGCGTTTTCCATGCTTTTACAAAACACCCTATACAACTGAGTGAAAAATGATAGCCCTTCGATTTTGTGCAGCATTGAGTACAAGATTTTTGGAAGTAGTGATAAATAAGTGCAAGTGTGCCTATATATTATGGTTTCAAAAATAAGCGCCTTAAGCTTTTGATTTTCTCTATTAATTCAAATTTGCGCCATTGCTTGATGTTTTAGAACTTACATTTAGACTGCCCCCTTGATAATTCAATAATTGCAAAACATGATGAGCACTTACCTTCACCTTCAAATTTCAACCTGCGCAAGTAGTCGATTTTATAACCCGGCTTGTATACCGACAAGTCGAGCTGGATGTCGGTCTTGGTGCCGTGCAAGCTCAAGTTCTGAGCGGCCATGCCACTGCTTTCGTCCGAAGACAGGTTATGTTCGACGGTACCTCCGTGACCGAAGTCATAACGCGGCGGACTCGGTACCGGCGAACCATTTTTATTTCCTGAAACCGACGTTCTTTCAGTATCACGACAATCAAAATGAAACTCGGACTTCCACACCGGTGCTGAAACTTTACCGCTCCTGTTTTTTAACGCAAACGCAAGTGAGAGATGTTGCTATTGGCAGACTGCACATATTCATTGGCTTACTAGCTATTATCAAAATATTCCTCTCCTTATTTATAATCGGTCCTCTGGCCGAGAAGAAACTGAGCACGCAAGCTAGCAAATATGTTCAAATTCTCCAATGGTTTTTAAACAAGATCATAGCGCGTAGCGCGGTTCCTTGTCCTAGAAGGACACATTGTTTTTCTATCGTGCTCCTGCGAACCACTATGGAACTTTCGCACAATCGATGTAATTTTATTGTGCATACGCCCTGTCTTTTACGTCTCGCCGAGCTGCAAAGTTACTGCAAACCTTGGTAAATATTAAAATTTGTACAAAAAATAGCGATTTCCAATGATTATCCCCCCGAAAACGGCAATTTTCAGAATCTTTTAGTTTTTTTTACCCATAATCGACACACCCTGTAAATAATCCAAAAAATGCCCTAAGTAAAAGTTCTAGCACTGGATCTTCCTCGTTTCCTCGTATGTGAATATTTTCAATAGAGTGACTGGTTTTCGAGAAAATACTTGTTTTCCGAAACTTTGCAGTAATAGTAAACGACGTCGTCGCGTCTAAATTGAGTGCGAGATACAGCGACTGTCACATGGACTATTTCAAATAACTCGAGAAGTGTATGTGAAAGACAAAATGGAAACATTGTAGGCCTTGACGCGACTTACATTACTGTGAAAATCAAATAGTCATATTTTTCAGGAATTTTGATGTACGGCTAATAATTTAATAGCGAAAAGAACAATTTTCAGGGTCTGTTAGATTTTTGTCTATAATTGAAAAACCCTCTCTATAATCGAAAAAATGGCTGAAATAAAGGTTATAGCTCTGGATTTTCCGCATCCCCTGATTAAATAATTTTGCCAATCGAGTAAATAGTTTTCCGGAAAACAATTTTTTTCTGGAAGTCCAAATAACCGGATCTCGCGCGCTTTTTGGATAAAGAATTGTTCCGACCGTATATACCATTTTTGAGAAATTTTTTCTCGCAACCCTGCAAACACGGTTTTTAAATTTTTAAAAATACTTCTCTACCCCCCCCCCCCAGCACCCAAGTTTCGATAAAACTTCGTTACGGGATAAAAAGCTATTTGCCTGCAGAATTTCAATTCAATAGCTTAAAATTTCGGACACTTATCGTGTTTCATAGCAATGTCCAAAAAAGCGTCGAAAATGAAAAAAAAAAATGGACGCCGAGATCTGCCCGCAATAATTTTTCATGGGCTAATGTGCTTCATGGACTGCTTAAAAGGAGGTACATTTGAAAATCGCAAGTCAAATCGTTCGAAAGTTATGTTCATTTAATGCCGCGTCTACAGAGAAACGGAGAACGGACAGACAAAATAAAAAAAAAAAATTTCGACCCTGATCATTTCTGTACCAATGGGGGTCCAATAGCTCCAACCGTTGTCGAGATATAAGTTTTGTTACCAAGCGCGTATACTGTGTATATTCGATTTCATCGATTTTTCAAAAGTAACAAGTAAAATGAATTACTAGCAACTGTGATTTAAGAAGAAAACAATTTTTGATGACGCAGTTAAAACTCTCTTAACTCCTAAACTTTATCCTCTTTGCGACTAAGGCGCATTTAATTCATACCTGAATTAATTATATCTTATTGTAAGCACAATATGAAGACGCTAGTCAAAGAAAACAAGCTGTTTTCTTCAACAGTAACAGCCAGATTTTTCTTTTCTCTTTAACGCAAACGACAATGTTCCCCTCGTCTAGACCTAGAGAAAAACTATTTGAACGTCTGCCCACAGGTGAATGGGAAAGGGTAGCAAATTTAAAGTTTGCCTGCCCTTTGATTTGTGGTGCAGAGAACAGGAGTGGTCTTGTACACCAGGTGTTAGTCAAGATCTATCTAGTCTACGCTAAAAAGGCTCTTTTACCGTCGAACGCGCCGTTCTGTTTTGGTGACAAACTGTTGATGTAATTCTTGACGAAGTTGGTTCTTTGCACGTTACAGGGACTCGTCGCCGGACTGAAACCCTCTTGGTGAAAGCTGGAGTAATCCAGACCAATGTTACGATTTTGCTGCAGCTCGTCGCCGAGCTCATCGGTTACGGATATGTGATCATTGACCGAGGGTGACATCAAACTTATATCTCTCGATTCGTCCAGACCGTAATTGACTTCCGTCAAATTGTCAGGTTGCGTAAGGGTGTAGAGATTATTTACCAAAGAGTCGGCGCAATTAGGGGCGGAGCTCACATCAATATCGATATTAGGCTCGCTACACACCGAGTCCAGGGCAGCTTCGACCAGCAGGCTCGCGTTAGACGGCTCATGTCGATTGAAATCAGCCATATTCGGCAATTTACGGTCGTACAGGTCGTGCTCTTGTATGGTCAGGTCGTCTTTGCTCAACCTTTCGATCGAGTAAAAGTCAGAAGCCTTGAGCAATGGCGGATCGTCCGCTATCCATTTTTTCGAACCCTTGCTGACGACCTTCATGGAGGATGGCGTGGTCGACATTTGCGTCACATAGACGTCTATCGACGGCGAAGTGGGTGGATCGGGAGGTTGTGGAGGTGGCGGGGGCGATTGGTCTTCGGGAAGGACCAGGGGAGATTGATTGGCTGGCGGATCGTCCATACTTTTGCTGTCCAGACCTGGAAAGAGGAACACCAAGAAAAATATGCTGCATTACGTAGATACGGTCGTTGCAAAAAATTAAACGAGATTTTTTTAAAGATGCAGAGTGGGTGATAAAGTTAACTGCTAATATGCAATTAAAAGAACGCAATTTGTCAATAATACAGGTCTACAAAATTAAACTTTTTGACAGATGTTTTGATTTTGAAAACTGTTTTCATATAATTTTGGTAGGCTGATTTCAAAAATTCTATGCATTTATTTGTCTCACGTAAGGTTTTTTGCAAATATTAATAGAAAAAAAACGATATTTGTAAAATATTTTTTTTTAGTCAGTAAAAAAAGTGTGTCTCCCTGTTCTTCGCTAACTGCTCCAAGATTTTCAGGAAAATAGTTCAAGTGTGAAAACAGGAAATGCACTTTCAAACTCATATTACAACCTAGATGATGAAAGTGTTGGAACATATTTTGAACAATACTTTAGTACTAGTTCCCAATAAACTTATCAATTACTTCTTTCAATGAACCCAGGCGTTTTCCTCGACATTGGTCATTGTGTTTTGAAAATCCTCGTCTTTGCATAATGTTCTTTCTCTCACAAATATTTGAAACACTGTCCATGTGTGTCTAGGGCTTAAACAAACTGCTTCATCAAATCTAGTTTGCTATGAAGAGAAGGCAGTAAAATATTTTTAGGCTCAACTAAGCTATCTCTTATACATTTTTGCTACCAGGTGTAAGGCTTGATCTTGATATTTGAGTCCAGAACTACACAATTTGTTTCTTATTTTTTCTGTTGAATCCTTGAACATTACACGAACAAAAATAACAATCACTAACACTAAAGCTTAGACTTTTCTTCCTATCTTTTTGCGAGTTTCGTAATGCTTCAACGCAAACGAAACGGACAGAATGAGGAACCAAAGACTTATCTTGATCACCATTTTTTACACCAAAATAAGCATGGTATACATTTTTCACAAAAGAATTTATAGTTTCCTTCTGCTTTACTACGACAAATATAACCAAAGTTATTTAGAAATACGCAACAACGAAGACAAGAGCCGCGAGCACAGTAGCACGACAACCAATACAACCAAACTGCGCATAAGCAGGTTACAACTTTGTTGTAGAGAAATCTTATATTATTCAGTGTTGCTAAATCACATCTAATTTCATAAAAATGAATTCATTTAAAAATCACGCCTAACACGGAACAAACATATTCATGTCATAGGTATGTATATTAATAAAATAAGATTTTTAAGATATAGAGCGCTATAAAAAATTGACGTGATAGAGCACAATTATGGTGTTTTTTGAAAAAAAGTCCCCCAAAAATATACAAATAAACAAACAGCTTTCAAACATTAAAATCACTGTAGACCTATGTAATTATTCATGCCTCCCAAAATTACACCCTGTAACATACTTTTCATGTTAAAAAATGATTGCAGTTTTAGATTATTTTTTTTTAACATTGTTTTATTATCGTGCATTTTTCAAGCTGCCAAATTGCCAAACTTTTTTATAGATTTCCTATTAATTTGATTCAGTCCTATATATATACAGGGTGTTGTGGAATTCCTATGACACAAGTTAATGTGTTATTCTAAGGCATGAAGAACATATGGCAAAAATACTATCTTTCAAAATCACAACTTAATTTTCAAGTCAAAACATCTCAATCGCTATTTTGCATCTTTTCGTCTCTAAAATTGACACAAAACAATGGTTCATATGCGTAATTAAACTCGTTTCGGTTCGTTACGTGCAAACTCACTTGCGTCATCCAAGTAACCCTCCTCGTCATTATGGTCAACTTCCTCATCCCTTTCACCGTTTTCATCCTCGTTCGCGTCATTATTTTTATCCCGTTCACCCTCTAGTCCACTGTAGGCTTGAAACGTGTAGTTCACGCTCCGCTCGATTTTTGGCATAGTGTCTTCCGCGTAATTGTGAACTTTTTTGTAGTGAAACTGCAAGCACTGTTTCGTAGTAAAGGCTGCATTACAACTGCCTTCTGCACACCTGCAAGAATAATGTACCGCGTGGCCAATTAAGAAGAAGGCTTGGTCCTATCTAGACAAGGAATTATGATTTACTTGGGACGAAAAGTTGTATAACTAAAGAGACCAAGAGAAAATGCTGGAATTATTTCTAAGTTTTTTAGAACAGTCGCTAAGGGACACCTTTCTTGAATTTTAAATCCCGCTAGAATGGACACTGTTGTAAAGCTGGGATAAATATAATTTTTTTCGTTAAACGGTTTTTGCTCTCTTAAGGGGGGTTCTAACATTTTCAGAAGTAAACGTCTTCAGAATGGCTGAACACAATTTGTTCAACTTGGAGTTGTTGAAAAGGGCTTTACACAATCGGCGCTACACTGAGCAGAATTATTTAGATAGCTTGTATCCCCGCTAGAGGGCGCTTTGCACAATGGAAACATGTCTTTTGAGGTATCAGTCACTGCAACACACCGAATTAAAATTATTACATGTTTCGTATTTGCAAACACAACATAATACATAATATAATAATAATAATATAATAACACTGTGTCGCCATAAGATAGACATAGACAGTGGAAGTTTTGTCCGCATGACGTCCCTTTTATCCTATGACAAACTTAAATTTAACTATGCCTTTTATTGGAAATAGATAAACCGATAAATGATTACCTGAAAGGTTTGATACCGCTATGTGTCAACATGTGGATTTTCAAATTCGATTTGTTCTGAAATGGTTTGCCACATCTGATGCAAGAACAAGTCCCGTCTCCCTGCTTTTGATGCACTTCCTTCATGTGCCTTTGCAAAGCAGCCCTTGATCCTAATATCTTCATGCAATTTTTGCACTGGAACTCTTTCAGTATTTCCAAGCCGCTGTGCATTCGTTTAATGTGAACTTTAAGTTTCTGCGGTTGGCAAAACTTGCGTCCACAGAAATCGCACAGAGGGCGCGCGCGATGCGGATTCGCAGAACATCCATAGGTCCGGTGCATTTCGAGATAATTTAATCTTAGGAAAAACTGTACAGAAAATACAGAATGAGCGTATGACCACTTCGTAATTTCATCCTCACTAACTTTTTTGCAGAATTGACACTGGTAAGCACCTTGACCATTGTGAAGTTCCGCCGCGTGTTTCATAATATTCTCCTTGCCCAAAACCGCGGCCCCACATACTTTGCAATGGTACTTCCTTATTGTCAAACTGTACCTGACGTCGTGAAAAACAGAACAGTGTGTTCTGTAGTACAATGGATGAGCGAATGTCATGTTACATCCTCCACAAACTAAAATGGTAACTTATTGAAACACCCTCAAAATCAAAACAATATAAACTGCATCGGTAATCCAGTACGTACTTGTTTTCTCAAGTTTCTTTTTGCTATTTGACAATGGACTATCTTGCCAATAAAACAGTTCATCTCCATCAGTAATAAATTTAACACTGACAAAATAAATTTTATTTTCCTTACATATTACACTTAGATTTTTCTCACTTCTTGAAGGTGCAGGTCTAACATACTTCATCCAGTTTGAATATTCAATATCTTCCGTACTTACATAAATGTTCCCATTTTCTAAAGATATTTCCCAGATATCTTTCATGCCTGAATCTTCTTGGATGTCCACCTCTTTTATTGTTTTACCTATTAGTGGTCCAAATTGTGTAAAAGGCTGAATTTGAGTGGATGCTACCACTCCCAAGCCGTGACTTGAATTAGTATCTGAGAATTTAAACACATTGGGTAAGGAGACTCTTGCAAAAGCAAATTTATTTTTGTCAACTTCCTCATCTTTTTCAGCTTTTATAGATTTACTGCTTTCTAGTTCATGTATATTTTTGTACTTTTCATTCCAACTATCAACTGTTATATTATCATTCACTATGAAATGAGGATAGTTAATAGGGCAGTGATCTTCTATATGCCTTGTACTACAATTTTGACAGTGCTTGATCCTTATAGCAGCCAAATTTTCTGGAGATTTCTCATTATTTTCTTTAGAATTATCTACCTGATTTTCCAGCTGTGGAGCTCTTCTTATATCAACATCTTTTGATTTATCCTTTTTGGTATGGCAAGTAAGCTTTTTTTTCTTGGGTTTGTCTTCATTTTCTTTAATATTTGCTTCCATAATTGCAACAGTATCTAGGTTTATTGGATCCTGCTGTTTTACCTCTCCACTGGATCCCAAAATTTCTGACGCGTGAGTACTTTCATTTTGGTCATTAACAATATTCTGTTTCGCTGACGCTCCCATATTTGCGTCAATTTTCGGTTCGTTTTTATTGCCAGTCTTTTTGGTCCCATTAATAATACCATTCCTAAAACATTACAACCAAAACAAAAGCACGTGTTATTTATTATTGATCTGTCAAGTTGGCTCCGCCTACAAATATGTCTGTTGTGTTCATTAAAAAGCATAAAGATTAGATGCTGTTTTTGTGAATGTGGCTGTTTTTCGCTATAAAACTTACCCAATTAAGTAGTCTTGAGCAATATCCAACAACTTAGACGCAAACTGTTCATTCGATTTGCAGCAGAAAAGGATTTTCAGTTCATTCCATCGTTTAAGGTTTAAAATACCCACAACGAGCTTTAAAATAGCGTTTTCTTGGTGTTTCGACACTTCACCGTTTGTTTTTCCCACTTGGGTGTTATCTACTTGTGCTTTCGCGTCGGTTTGGATCTTTTTATACATATTTTCAAAAAAATTAAAGAAGATAGACTTGATGAACGCTGAATAGCTCTATCCTCTTTAAGTTGACATACGTGACGTCATCGAGTCCCATAACTTTACAGGTCGATATCGCATATATCTTTGTCCGAAAAGGGCTTGGGAGAATGACGAAAAACGAATTTTGAAGCTACATTTAATCGCAATCGGAGTCACGGTTATGTTTTGTATGTATAATAAGTTATGAAACAAAAAATTAAATCGAGCACAATTAGGCAGAAAAAAGTACATCTCAAAGGTAAATGTAAGAAAATCTTGCTAGACTGATCCTTTTTTTTTTGCTAAAAAAAAATAACCAAAAATAATTGAATATCTACTGATATATCGTGCGCTAGATCTTTTAAATTACGATTACCTGTAAACTATAGTTTACATTCGTTTTCAATGAATGGGGGACTCCATTTTGGTAAGTTTACTCCGTGCTCATCATCTTACCAAATTGTGTCTATGGCATTATAAATTAGGTTATGTTTAATGATTTTAAATAATTTTGGGGTTTTTGTTTTAAAATGGCAAAATTATTGAGTTACTATCGATTATGTCCTCTAATAGACACTAAAAGTTTGTTAGGTATTTCAGAAGGCAAAGAAAAAGGAACAGTAATCGTCACATTAGGTAAAAACATTGGTATTAAATACCGTGTAAGTAGTGGCTTTCAAATATGTTTAATTTTTTATAACTATTTGTTTATGTGTAGTTTTCAGATCAAAAGCAACTTAACAGCTGGAGAACAAGGGATAAATTTAGTTCTCCGGTTATATACGATAAAAATCAAGACAAATATGTTGCTGTTTTTAATGAAACCTTTGTTAAAATATGGAATGATGAAGATGAAGCTCTAGATAAACTAAAAAAATATAAGGTATTTAAAATTTCTTTTATTCACCCCTTGTTCAGGATTTTTTACTAATTACACATTTCTAGTTTAATAAGAGAATTTATTCAATATTCTCTCATAATGGTACAACATATGTAGTGTTCGAAAATGGATCGGTATATCCTTTGGACGATATTTTAAAGGACAGAAAATGTTTTGAGGCAGAAGACATATTTGAAAAGCAAACTATTCATGATGTGTTGCACTTCTCAGCAAATGATCGGTTGTTTTTTGGGTTGTTGGTGAATTCTGAAAAATCCTTTATATTATATTGGACAGAATATAACAATTCAAAGAATAAATTTTGCAAAATTGATTTAAATAGGGACCAGTTTACATTAAAAGGTTATTCTTTTCATTGGGACAGGGATGTTATCCAGTTTTTGACAGTGTGTAAGTAATAGCACCAATAATTAAAAGCACTATATGATAAGGAAAAATTCCCACAATGATTTGTTCTTGGATTATATTTCTAGGGGATGATGGTAGAGTATACAGCAAAGAATTAAAGCAGTTCCAGAAAGAACCTTCAAACTTTGGGGACCTCTTTTGTGTGGTTGATTGGATTTCTGCAGAAAAAAATGTCAAGTTGGCTCATTTAAATGAAAATTATATTGTTGTGTATGGGGCTGATTTAAATGAAGAGGGAGCCATTTTATTTATATACAATACCCACTTTAAGGTTAGAACTTTTAATATTGTAAATATTTTTAGATCAAATTTTGCATCTATATGAAATTTTGAAAAATTAAATTATAATTACAGGTGACCCAGTGTAAACAAGTACATAAACTGTTTACAAATGATGCCAAGATTTGGCAAATTGACTCGAATTTATTAATGCCTGTAGGCCAAAACTTGGTAGTAGTTCCTTTTCGACTGGAGTCAGAAGAATTAGCAGCATTGGTTGGAAGTCACAAGCCAGTGAATAATAAAATGGATCTAGATGTGGCTATCGTACAAGAGTGTGAAGTAACAAACTGGACACAGGAAGGAGATAAATCAAAGAAGAAAATATCAAGGCGTGGAAAATTGTCAGATAGTTTACAAGCAAGAGTTAATGATTTTTTAAGGCAGGGATTACCAGAATCATTAATTTTAGAAGAAATTATGCCAGATGTCCTTGAAATTAAAAATATTCAAGTCATTGAAGAGTGTTTAAAATTCTTTGTGGATATTCCAGAGAAGTTCTTGGCAGCCTTGTTAAAATTACTCTTGTCATGTGACAAAGAAGTGTTCAGTGATCTACGTGAAGTAAATAAGGAATTATTTCCCACTAAGTTACAGCCCAAGGGCAGGACAAAGTTACTAGATACCATTTTAAGAAGGTCTTATAGTGATGTTTTGCTTTTGCCTCATTTGAGATCGCAAGTATCAATAGAAGAAGTGGTGTCTTTGTTGCAATATTTTGTATTTTTATTGTCCACAAATGGACACAATTTATTAGGCTTGACCTCATTAGAAACGGAAATTAAATTAATTGGTTGGAGTAGCATCCTCATTGATTCAAATTACCAGAAATTGATTCTGTCCAAGGACATAGAAGTTTCAGAACTGTTAGACAGATTTAAGACGACAGTTTTGATGGAATTAGAAGTTCTGGACGATTTAAAACAAATTACTCCACTACTGTTGCAGGCCGTAGAGGAATCCAAAGGGAAGAACTTTGGCCGCTCAAGGTTGGACAATTGCCAATATAGTGTTGAGCAGATGAGTTTCTTCTGAATAAATGAAATATAAAAATCCTTAATGAGTTTTTTGTTTTACCAATCATTGCCATTGAACCATTGAATTTTAAAAGTGATCCCAAAATGAAATGGAATTTATTAAGGGTATAGTACATTTCTTCTTCTTTGTTTAACTAAGCACTTTGGACAGAGTTACTTGGGGTTATTCGCCCATTGCTGACACCTATCGAACATGGACAGATTTGTTCTACCAGAGTTCAGAACTAATTTTAAATTTGGCTGATTGTGCGGAATAGCAAATTAGCCAAATTAGTGTTACAGCAAAGTTTATTGATGTGTTGGAACGGTTTAGGACTCTAGTTCGAGAGTTGAGAATTTTAAGTTCGCACATGCGCTAGAACCAATTTAGCAGTAAATGTCAAGTAACGGTTGATTGAGTTGCTGAATATGTCTTTGATTAAATCCTGAAATTTTGAAATATCTTTGCGTTGTTTGCCGCACACACATTTACGAAAGGTTAGGTCGTTGATCTCTTCTATTTTTTGATGTTGCGACAAAGCTTTAAATGCCCGATTAATAACTAAACTAAACTAACTAACTAAAACATGCTCAATTTTATATTGGAACAAACCTTAAGATGTAGCTTCAAAACTTCAAACTTCCAACCAACCTAGGTTGGTTGTATCCCCATTTTTCTGTTTGTTGATGTAATTAAAATTCGGTTTTGTGCACTCACAGTTTATTACACCCTCTAGTTTCAATATATAAGTACGCATAAAACCAATTTTAAAAGGTATGATAGAATATTATATTTTTTTTAGGGAGAAACTGAATATAAAAAATATATGCACTCATTTTTTGTCATAGGTATCTTTATCCTTGTAGCCAGAGACGTAACCGGAGTCGTCTGCCACATCGGCCCTCCCTTCGATACCTTTTCCTTTGCCGCTGGCATCGAATCGCTCCTTGTGCGACCCTGTATACTTTGACGTATCTGTCAATCGGTCGACCGCCCCAGTTTTCACAGGGGTCTGTAAATACATCGGTTGTAATTCAAAAGTTTTAAAGAAGGGACTTGTGTCAGTACCGTGGTTTTAGTTGTACCTGGCAACCCGCAGTTCATTAATTTTTCTTTGATGTTGTCGACCGGTATATTTTTTTGTTGCGCCAAATCTTCGACAAATGTCAGAAAATTTTGGAAGTTAATCGTTTTTGATCTTAAAAAGAATCATTCTGCGTAATTCATTTTATGCAATTCAATCCAATTTTCAATATTTATCTCCGTTTGAACCATATTCTCGGGTATAAAATTACTTATTTGGATTTCCATTTTACCTTTACTTGAATTATATCTCTAGGCTTCAGCCGAAACGCAATAAAGGCAATGGAAGTCGAAATAAGTGGTTCAACTTGTAACCTTGGATATTTCGTAACATAAAATTGAAAATATCTTTAATTGTAAACAGCATAAGTTTTTTAAAATTATACTAATTAACGGCACACCGCCATAAAAAACATTATCTGGAGTATGGAATAAATAAAACAAACAAGAATGTCTACCAAATAAAAATAACGACTTTTACGAGCTACATTTGACATTAACTTAACTGAATTTTTGGTTCTACCAACATTTTAAAATTGTAATGGCAAAATTATAATATTTATAATATATGACATATGTCACCCCAAAATCGACTGCCGCCCCACCTACATCGAAAACTTGAACAACTATAACAAGTTATCGATGTCTCCTCTATTAGTCATTAGCACTCGGCAGCTCACAGAAATTTTTTCGAGCAGTTATACCTTGCATATAGGTTTTAGATTGGCCACCTTGTATATTATGTAGCAATAAAGCGCTAACAAAGTTAGGTACAATTATATAATTAACCTACTTGAACTTATTAAAGCATATTCCCGAGTCGGTAGTTGTTAATTTTTTATCGAAGACTTGGGCCTGCTTAAACCATTTATCAATCTGCGTTAAAGTTATCGTTTTGCCGTCGGCCTTCGAGTCTCCAAATTTTGCGAAATTCGCAAATTGCTGATCCAGTTTTATAGCCATATTTTTGGAACCTGAAATTTAGGAAACCTCTCAAAAACTTGCCGCAGTATTACTACTTCGTGAGTGGTTACTTGCTCGTCATGAAAGTTGACACTGAAAATTTGGTGACACGCATTTGGGTGTGATATCCGTATTGTTGGGTTGCCATAGGAACTAATGATAATGAGTCATTTAATTGAAACGGACGTTGCTGTTAAGATAGTAACGAATTGGTTTGAAGTTAATTGATTTTGATTTCGGATGAAGAGTGACATTTCAAATACGTGAAATAATAATTAAATTTAATTAATATTTTGCTAATTTTTTACTCTAAAATTTTTAGTTAAATTTTGTTGTTGTTCTTGAAATTATGACGGAAGAAAAATTAATACAATTAAATATAAGTATACCTCTGCTTCAATACTTTGTACGTAGTAAGATATTGATTACACTTCTCTACTCTATAACTAATTATATTCTAAAAAGAGAACAAAAAGTAAACCTTAAAATACTTTAACAAAACAATAACCAACGTTTTTGGTCGTTCAATTTGCAACGACAAACTAATGTTGTGGGTAGCTGGATGCTATCAATAAATCACCATGTAGATATATTAATACAATACAATGACCAGATGCATTAATAATCAAATAATAGTCATTTTTAAAAAAAAAACATCAAATATATGTCAAAACTTGTGGGTTACCAGTAGCATAATAATGTGTCTAAAATTGATGTCAATCCCAATTATTAAATTTCGTGCAATTTATGCTTACTCAACCCGAAAACTAGAAAGCAAAACCCTTTATTAGTACTGCGGATGCACATTAGTGAAGTTAATATATGCTGATATACAGCCATACTTACGTTTAGGAATGTTCAGTTAATTGTTGTGATTTCTACACATACCGATAAGCTGACACTAACGACTTGTTAAACACTAAAAACAGTTTTTGGTGGCTCATCTCACCTATACCAGTGACTCGTTATTCACATACCGATAAGCTGACACTAACGACTTGTTAAACACTAAAAACAGTTTTTGGTGGCTCATCTCACCTATACCAGTGACTCGTTATTTCTGTCTGAGTCTGAGTTTCATCATCGGTTCACTATTTTAGATGGTTAAATAATGTAAAATTGAAGCATAATGTTTTTGTCTGCCAACAAGAAACCACGTGTTATTGAAAATGTGCGTTTTAGAAACAATGTATTGATGTCATTGATTGATTTTATGTCATGCAGTTTTTAAAATTTCGCATTAGCGCTAGGTATTATTATATTCATATATAGATCAAAATAAAAATGAAATGTGAATATGCACATGTTTATTTTATGTATTTATTTATGACAGTCATGTTGTCAATGAAAAAGTGTTAAACATGCCTGATTTAGATACCTATATTGAATTGACATCTATGGTCCAAATTGATTACCAAAATGAAAAATTTTCCCTTCAATTAAATGGAGCAAATAAAAAATGGTTAATTTTTCGCGATACGACCTATTGCATTTTTATTTAAATTTACCTTAATAAGTAATAAAAACTTCCGGCCGCAAATTGAATTAAATACTATAAGAGAGCATAATTTGTTTATGTATTAGGCTGCTGGTATCTTCAAACTCCAAAATCATCGAGATACACCTGATAAGTAACAATCCGCTGCGGAAAAAAGCATACGCGATTACACATGGCGCGAAAACAAAATTTTCCTGCGAATTCCTGCATCTCTCAGTGCGTCCTGACTCGTCTTGCCGCGCTGATCGCTTAACAAATTCCGTAGCTGAAAATATCCCGGAATATTTGTTTATCCACGAAAAATTTCAAGTGGCTTTGAATTGAGTTCGTTTTGGAATTTTTGCATTTACAGCTGGGTTTTCTTTGAGAAGCGTGAGTATTGCTTTGGGACTATATAATCTATGGAATGGTTCGGTGGTAAAATGACGTAGATTTTTAACTACTGTCCATAAATTATAACAACGTTGGCAGAATAAATATTAGCTTGTGGTCATTGATGGTGTTCTGCGACGGAATCGTAAAACGCTTTTAAAATGAAAAAAATATTTAAAATAAACCATGTCTTCAAATCTGATATGGGAAAAATTAAAGTTATTTGTTAATAAAAATATTGATTTATACCGACTTGTTCCTGCACATCTTTTTAATTTGCTTTATGTGTTGATAACATCGCTTTAAGAATTCTTTGTATACCCTTCGGTAAGCCCTAAAGCAGCGTGAAAAATCGATTATCTAGCGCATGAATACGGGCCAAAGTGTGTCGGGTAGTTTTCACAAAATATTTTTCAACATTTCGGCTAGTTGCAATTACTTAGAAAGCTTTTATGTTTAATTTTGATACGTTTATCCGAAACCCCCTAACCATATACTTTTGCCAGGCAAAATAAATAACAATAGAGCCCATGGTGAAGTTACGAGAGATGGATTCCTTACCATAATATTGGCTTATCTTAAGGTATCAATATTGAATACAGCAATATCCATTAGTTACAAAGATGCAGAATTGGTTCCGTTAGTTTTCATTACCTATAACTTATTGACTGCTAGGTATACAAAACGTGCTTTGGGGATCGTATATGATTTACTCAGTCGGCCTCATCGATTCTTTTGGTTTAAATCAAGCCAACTAGACGGTTGGAATGGGAACAAGGATCTTTCAATTTTAACATAACTGATTACAACCATTCCTTATCTTGAATAAGTTATTGCCGAAGATGCAACGGCGGCTTTATATACATACATTGTACTCAGCTTTACCAAGTTTAATATAATTTTACTACTGAGTACTTAACAGATTATCTAAAATCCGCTTACCGCTAAGCAATCAAATATGAAACTTTTCGTTTTCAAGGTAAAGATTAAAAACTCTTGTCCTCCATGTTCTCGGACTTTCGGAAGAGATCGATTATTTCTTAATTATTCAAAGACTTGTTTTATTTATTATGAAATTATTCATCCCAGGTTTTTGAGTAATTAATAAAGAACCGATTCTTTCTAAAAACTTTGACACCCTGTATGTTGACTTGTTTTTGGCTGATAAATATACCCTTTTTCATTTATTTAATCAGATTCAAAATCAATGACAATAAAATTACATTAATAATGTAAGAACGCTTAAAACATAATTTTTAATTATTTAAACTAATTTCATAATGCCATTTCCTAAAGGACAAAATGGGAGCACAATTACTTTTATTTTAAAATATCAATAAATATAAAGATAAAAAGGTATAATTAATAAATAACCAACGTTTTATTTCTTAAACTTGCACATAAGCTCATATCTGCCTACTTTATTCCGAGTCTTCTTCTTTACTGTTTTGTTATTTTGGAGTTTGGAGTGGGTTAGAACAAGAAATTTTCGTAAAACTGATAAGGCCATGAAAAACGCTGTAAATTAAAGTTGGCTTGGTATTTTTTGTCTTCTTTATTTATAGTTTCATCAACTAGTTTTTGAATAATTATTATTAGCAGACGTTAGTTCCTTAAATTTAAACAGCGTACTAGTTATAGTTAACTCTGGCAGAGCTAAAGATGGGAGGGGATTCAAAATGAATACAAAACTTTTACTCGTCGTGTAAATAGATTCAAATTTATTTTTGAACCTTGACTTTTTATTTTCACCTTGCATTTACACGCCATCATCTATATTCCCATTTAATTTCGTGTTCGTTATTTTAACGCTTTTCACAAATAATGACGTAATTTTATTTTTAGCGCATTACGATACGACGTTGGAAGTGTCGGTGTATAAAATTTTCGATAACAGTGTAGAAGGTTAATTTAATTATTCGATTGATATACAGTACTTGTTCAAACCCGACAAATATATCAAAACATTCTCCTCAGACAATAGAGGGAATGCCACGTTTTTCAGTGTGGCCTAGATATATTTCCAATCCAATTGCCTCTGTTGTATATTACTTATTTATTATTTTTGCGGTTACACTATTTTACAAAATAGTCAATTATTCATACTTTCCAAAAATTAACTGACTAAAGTTAGAATATTTTTAATTTTTTTTGCGCTACCTGAAACTTGCCGCAAGAGAAACGAACTGTGCAAGCCACAGTCAGTGTGTCTAAATGGAACGTAAAATAAATCATTGGGCCACTCCTGTCCTTAATTTTGAAATTCAAATTTGAAAGAAGAAAACCGCAGTAGTCGATATCACCTTACAATAACTTTAAAATGAAACATAAGCAAGCAAGGAATCTTTGCCGATTCGTTTAAATCGCACGCAGTCTGATTTTTTGAGTTTGTGTACTTTTAATCTGCATGAGGCAATACGCAAACATATTTATAAAAAGGAAACTATATTTGAATACCATATTAAAGACAAACGAAGATAAATCTACTTCAAAAAAATTAAACTTACAAATGAAGCAAGACTTCTAAATCATTATTTTAATTCATCCGTCTTTTAAGGAATATTCAAAATTTTGAACCAAAATAAACCATTGTGGTCGGTGTTTAACTGAAACATATTTGAAACATTTGTCACCCGACTCTATTAGAAAATTGGAATACTCGGATGACATTTTCGTTTTGACCAAAAAATGACTTCTAACCAATACTGATGGTGTAAGATTAATCACATTTGTTTTTAATGAAAATTAATAACTCTAGCATTTTATTAAACCCTTGTCCAGTAGTAGTAGTGTAGATTTACATACAATGTCTATTGGTATCAGTTCTGCCTAAAATTAAATCTTTCGATAGAATAAATTTCTTCTATTCAACGGTTTTTAAGATTTTCTGGTCGTCGAGTATTAAGCAAGAATGCAATGTGTTTATCGCTAAGCAAATAATGTACATAAACAGGTATAAGTATAAGTAAAAAATCAACAAATAAAGATAATGTGTAACGCCAATATCTCCGTTGAAGTATTTCTGTTTAATTTCACGATTTTGATATTTATATCTGACATTCCGCCGAAAGGAACTTTTTTTCGAGTGGCTCGGCCAGTTAAAAGATTTATATAATTGAAAACAGGCGGCTGATTTTATGGGATTTGTATTTTATTATACGGATTTGTTTTGGGCACAAACTCCATTCAATTAAACTTTACTGTGATGTAAAGAGTTGTTCTATTTAGTGAATGTAAACTGGGCAAGATAATGTATAGGTACCTCGCGTGATTGATCCAACTTTCCATCTATTTTAAGTCTTGTACATAGGCACTAAAAAACCTATACGTGAGAAAGGTGCGTCTGTTAGAGCGGAGAACACACCCTCTCGTGATAGTGGGATAAATAGGCACGTATAGATTTTTTTTGCCCTCGAAATTGGTTTAGCGTTAGCGTCGCAAATTGTGGAAGAAATTTTATAATCCCATTTTTTTCCATTATTAATTTCACTACTTGCGAAAATTGATCCTCGAGGCGTATACCAACAAATATTAAATTAAAAACAAATGGTCTCTCGAAGCGTACAGTAATAGAATTGAAAAATTACAGCAAAAACTTTTTGCCTTTCTTACAAAGAAAATCTGAACTTAATAACTCAAAACTTCAATGACGTAAGAACTTGCTATAGCACATTGGAAGATCCAAAAAATAGAGCATTAAATTTCACAACTACATATGAATCTCTAAAAAAGACACTTACTCATATTCTAATTTGTTTTCACTTGATTTTTTCTTAAAGTCACTATTTTTATTTTGCTGTCTTCTCTATTTATAAAATTGATTTTAGAGTACCGTAAGTATTGTATGTTCTATATGCATTTATTTTGTTTTCGTTAATAACAAAACTTTATTATAAATATTTTGTATTTATATTGTAATTCAGTAGTTAAACACATTATAACGAGAACATTTTAAGCACCCATAAAAAAGTCTTCGCGTTCGTTTGTAGATTAAGTATTTTCCAAAACGGATGAGCATTTCCGCGTGAAAAAAGTAGGTCTGACTATAACAATAATAAACGTGTTTTTTTTGTCAGCTGGGAAGTGACGTAACGATTTTTAAATACTTCTCCAAACGAATGTTAATGAATAAGCCTGTGGCCTGTGGTACATACTTGTATGCGTTTTTATTAGCATAAAATGATTATATAAATCGGGCGTGTAGCAATTTGACACTAATTTAAATATTTCGTTGGTTTGATAATATTTGATTGCATATACAGAGTGATTCATTAACAACTATATTTTAACTGAAATCCATAGCTCAAAATAATATATTACATTCGCGTTTTATTAAAATTTGTTTTTTATTTACGCATACGCAATACGTATTAAAGTTTGATTTGCTTAATTGCTTAATTGCGACTGCCCATTGACATCAAAATAATTGTTTAATGTTTAATTTAAAATATCTCGAAAAATTATGATCTTGTGGTTACAAAGAGTCAAAAAATTGTACTAAAATGGCAATTCGGTCCTTTGCTTGGAATAACATAATCCAGTGACAACTATGACTAGTACTAGACAAAAAGGTTTTTTAATTTTTAAGTAAAACATCCTGTAAATCAGTAGAGTGTCACATTTTGTCTAAGTGATTTCGGATATATTTTAATATCTTGAGCTTATGATTCTACGGCTTCAGTTATTAATGAATCACCCTCTATAGAGTCGGAGTTCAGTTTTAATACATTTTACTTGACTTTTTTACTTTGCTAAATTTGGTTACGAAAGTTTGTTTTGTTTGCTTCAAAAATGGTTCTACTTTCACACTTCAACATACAAGGTGTCCGAGGAAAATTATTATTTAAAAAAATAATCCAGTGATTTTTTAATTTTTATTTATTATTCATTATAAAACTGTTTTTTTATTCCTAAAACTAATACCCTGTAGCTCAAAAATTATGAGGATTACGACATATGTCGATATTAATTTTTCTTTCTTAAAATCCCTGCTTAGAATATTGCTTCTTACATAGCTTCTTCAATTGTTTCTACGCTTGGCCCGACTTCACTGTTTCGCAAGTATTAGTTAATTAAAATTTGTTATTTAGAATGCGGTTTTGAAGCTTTTTCGTTAAAAAAAGATAACTTTAAGGGAAATGTTAATTACGACTTGGTCTTGACCGCCTTCGAAGTCGTGTAAAGAGGAAAACTATGCAGCAAAAATTTGTAGATCTAAGTTTCAAACATGTTTTTGTGTATTGTAGAATAATGTCGACCACGACAACGCCGGAACCACCTGTACAACAAGTCGAAAATCTGAAACTTGAAAATGGGACTGCAGAAAATGGTGGCAGTAAACCAGCTACTCCACCAGGCACACCGACGCCACCAAAGTCCACTTTGGAGGAGCAGTTTAAACTGTTTGCTAAATTCGGAGATCCGAAATCCGACGGAAAACAGATTACTTTGTCAAACAGCGACAAATGGATGAAACAAGTATGTCATGCATGAACTCGCTAATTAAATTCACTTTACTTCACATTGCTATTAGATAAATCGAGAGTTTTCAGTACTCAATACGAAGATTTTAAAGACGTATTGACCATCCAAGAATAAGTCTGCTTTTAATGTGTCTAAACTTGACACGCCTATTTGTCGCCATAAAAGTATTTCTTCTTCTTCTTTCAGTGCCCTATCAGTTATCTGACGTCAACTTTCTGACTCTTTCTATGCGCGTTTCGCTTAGTTCCAGATGAGTATTTTCATGTGGTGAGCGACTAAATATCATAAATTTAGTTTTTGTTATATTTATATTCAGTTCCATTTCCTTGCTGATGGTGTTCACACATCTAGAAGTCTTGGAGGTCTGCTTTCTGCCATCATAGCAATGTCGTCTACGTATCTCAAGTTATTTATTGGTACCCCATTTACCTTAATGCCTACGTCCGTCCTCTCTAGTCCTATTTTAAAAATAATTTCTGAATACAAGTTAAACAGAAGAGTACAGCTGTGGCGTACTCCCCGGCATATTCTTATGTCATTGCTAAATTTATTGTCAATGCGTACATTTGCCGTCTGGTTCCATTATAAGTTTCTTATGATTTGGAGATCCTTTTGGTCGAGTATTTATTTTGTGTATTTAAATTAAAATTATTAGTTTCAGTGGCGTCCCTGTGATACAATTAATATTTATAGATCCATCATGGTACGCCACTGATTTCTTGAATATTTAATAAGTTTTTGATTCAAGCAACCAACAATGCCTTTATATATTCTACGTTACATTTTTTAATTATGCTTAAAGCTGTTTTTTTATATTAAATTTTAATTTATTAATAAGAATAAATTATAAAATTTGTGTTGCGTACGTCAAAAAATCAATCTACAATATTATACCTTAACCGTTCCTTTGTTTAGACTAATAAAGTATGTTAGAATGGTTTATGAAATAAAATAGGGCAGACGTCTTGTTTCAATGAATATTATCAAATCTTCAATACATAAAATAACAAAATAGTAATTTCATCCCAAAAATTAGCGTTATTACACAAATTTTCTCGGCGGGATCTTAAATTATTCATTTAGACACCAAATGCCTTTCGAGAAAAAAGTAAGTGCTTTTATTTCTGTAATTTTAATTTGTCTATAAAATTTTTAAATAAACCGGTTCATGTCTATTAAACTTCATAGTAAGTAACACAAACTAGCCAAAAATTTTAAATGGTTTCTTGGTTAATTTTAAGGCAAAGCTCCATTTTTTTTTCATAGATAATATTAAGTACACAATATTTATATAACAAAATTATATTGAATTTACAAATTTACCAATCTAATGATAATTATAATTTTTGTGTGTTAATTGTTTTTTTCTATATTGTTTACAGGCCAAAGTTATAGACGGGAAGAAAATCACGACAACTGACACTGGCATTTATTTCAAAAAATTAAAGTCACTGAAAGTCGGAATAGTGGATTACAGAAAGTTCTTGGAGGATTTGGCAAAAAACAAAAAAGTGGAATACGAAGAAATAAAAGGCAAACTGGCAAATTGCGGACCACCGGGTCATCACGGTTTAGGAGTAAGTTATACAAGGTGTTTCACCAACGCTCGGCTGGAGATTCGTCATTCAAATACATTATACTTATAATTATCAACATAATACTTATAGTTATCAACATACGGGGTGTGTTAAATATTATACGAAAATGGCTTTTTTACAATATGTTAAATATTTTTGGCCGATTTTATTGAAATCTGGCAACGTCACTTATAATGTTAAAGCTAATTTTTTTTCAAGTATATTCAAATTGTGAAGTGTAGTGCCGTCCAGGGAGGTATCTTAATGAACAACATTGTTAAAGTGATGTACGGCACTGACTTTATAGATCATTTTTACTTAAAAATAAAATAAACGGAAACTTTTTTGACTCCTGAGTTGTTTTCGTAGCTTGTCTTATTTTCAAGTCAAAAAATAGAAATCATTACAATGGTTCAAAAAATAAACATTTTGCCGCTGAAGATCTGCAAAGGTGTAAACCCGTTTATTAAACCTTTAAAGTAGAGCATTTAATACGTAAGTAGCTATACTAGCTGATGGTTCTCTCTTCACCACTAATGTAAAGGCACTATAAGCAATTTATAATAACAATTTGCTTTTTGGCGTAACTAATCCAATATTGGCAATTTTTGAGATACGTATCGAGAGCGATTTATTTTTTGGAGCCTTTAATACACCATGGACTTAGTTCTAAAATTTTTACACTAAAGAAAATAATGGAAGTAACCACCGTCAGGTTTATTGTTATTATTTATACAAATATAGATAATACCCCATATCATCAAAATTAAGCATTTCCCTCTGTACACCAGATTTAATACAATCGGACAAAACGCCTGACTACTCAACTATATGATTTATTTCATCTCTAGTTATATTAATCCCTAAATATTTTAATATTTTTTACAGGCGGTGAAAAATACGAGTACGGTAGAGAGACTAATGGATTCTTCTAAATTCACTGGAACTCACAAGCAACGTTTTGATGACAGTGGAAAAGGAAAAGGGATAGCAGGACGAAAAGACCTGGTGGATACCTCGGGTTACGTGAGCGGATACCAGCATAAAGACACTTTCGATAAAAAACAGTAATCGACGACTTTGGTATCGTCTGCAATATGCCATATTTTTCCACCGATCATTAAAAAGGGGGCACCGTATATTAATTTAAGGAGATTGTCGATATTATGGATATTTTAGTAACAAATATGTAGGCGCATATTTTCAAGAAAGATTTTTGAGATTCAATTGCATTTAAGTTTATATTTACATTACACAAATTGTCATGTACACGCGAAAGAACCCATATGGTTACTATGGATTAATTGAATAACACAGGCACTTTGTACCTACTCATCATCAGAACAATTCTCAGGATCGATTCAATCTAGGCATGCACGTGTCACTGAAAGCCTGGTGTTCAACCTGGCCGTCGACAACTCTAGCTGTCGGATTTTTGCTTTAGTTGTGTGATTTAAAAACTCTATATTCAATTGATTTGGTAGTTACCAATATGGTAGTTCATTACCAATATGGTAGTTCACACACAAAATCGAAAAGCGTCGAAAAAAATCCTAGAAACGTCCGCCTATGGTGTTTGTAAGGTGTAAAATTTGAAATTGCTTGATAAAATATTTTCTTTTGACATTTGTGTTAACTGCAGGGATAAGAGATAATATCAATTCAAAATATAATCTGGACCATAACACGATATACCGCAATATACCCGACAACGCATGCGCTTGACAGGACTATTCTTTCTGTATTGTGACATAAATTTTCAACTTTGAAATCTACCGACTTAACATTTCTGTATTTATGTAGATTTTTATAGGAAGTGATATAATTTATTAGATTTTGTTAATTAATAATTAAGTTTCGTTGTCATTTGAGTAGTTTTTATATTTATGATGATGTTTAATGATCATGTTTTGTTTTCTGAACATATATACATATATTTTTTTGGTTACGTTTTTAATTGAAGACCAATTAAAAATGCGTATACTTTCCAAAGGATATGTTTTAATATGGTGAAAGCTTAGAATATATTTTTCTTTTTTACAGATGTCCAGTATTTTTATTTTTTCGGCTTATTTAGAGCAGAAAACGCCCGTTTTTTGTACATTTTAGTATATAATAAATATTATATAATAACATAATAAATTGTGGAAATTATTTTATATCGAGTTTTAATTTTTTTTACCTTAATCAATATTTCAACGAAAAACCAACAAAAATCTAAATGTTTTTAAAATCCTGCAACTCATAATCTAGGGCATACTTAAATTAAGTCAATAAGATCTTGTTAGTTCAATTCAACCAATAAGATGTTCAACAAATTCGACAGTTTTCAATTTTCAAAATTTAAAAGAAAAAAACGATTTAAGTGTGTGGCAGGCATTCATGTTTAGTAAGAAAATTCCGCAAGCTGGTTGGTGCGTTAAATTTAGCGATATGCTGGATCAGGAACTCCCGTATTTGCTATCCCTCTGGATAAACCATATACATATTAGAGATATATTGCTTAATGTCGATGAAACAGACACTTATGAAGTAACTATAAATAAAAATTGAGATGGTCTATTTAACATACGCATGTACCAGATTTAAAACGTCGCTTTTAACCAATGACCTTGCAGTATTCAACAATCAACATGTCTGCTGCCAGATCGTCAATAGGTTTGGTTGCGGCATTTTTACTGGAGTATTTTCTCCAAATATGCTTAGATTTAGTTAAATATTCTGGAGAAATTAGCTAAGTATTTGGAAATCGCTGTTTAGAAAGAAAATAACGCACAATGCAGCTTAGTGAGTGCGGAAAACGTCTGTTTCCCTTCTGTATGAAAATATCCATGCAGCCTGCAGCGTATCGATTCCATTTAAATAAAGATTTCGTGTAAAAATAACTAGAAGCACTTCTGCCATCCTGTTGAGTTCAGTTTAGCTCTGAACAACTATTTTTTGATAGAATGAATTTAGTGCCATAAACACGAGAACAGTCTCTTGCCGTGCTCTTCCTCTTTTATTGAGATCGAATGAGTAGTTGGGCAATTGACTATAGTTATTTTGTCCTTGAAGCGGGTAAATTTTTACGCCCAAAATAAAATTTTTGGTTATGTTTGGTAAATATTTTTTGTAAAACTAGAAGAGACCTATGTTATTTGAGGTAGTTTTGTTTCTTTGATTTAAATTGACTTAAAAAGGTATTAGTATTAGTATAAAATCTTCTATAACAGGTAAAATTTTGATCGCATCACTAATTTTTTAAGTCATTTAAAGAATTTGTAACTAAAACAATTTTTGTGATCGATTTTATGCTGCTCGCTGTCGAAGTGCAGTTTATAATTCTGAAAAAGTGGTTCACATTTTTGTTTGCAACCAATTTGTGATTGAAATTGTAACAGACCATGTTATACCAAAAAAACATCACATACTTAGGGCTATATATAATTACATATTTAAACAATATGTTAATTTCAGGTGACCATAATGGACCCACACAGAGTTACATGGCAATTAAAGGCCTTATACACAGATGAGATGTTTACAATATCTCCACCACAGTTTACCGTGGGTCGAAATGCCACTGCTGATATAAAGCTTTTCAGTAATAAGGCATCGAGGAGACATTCAAACTTTGTAATTTCTATCGAAGGATCACTTTTGGTTGAAGACTATAATGTAAGAGACTCCATTTATTTTGTTTGTGGTAAAATTACTTTACACCTTTGCTTTTGGACCATTTCTGTTCTGGAGCCCTTTTTTAGACACAAACATTTGAACTGCAAGTGTGTGCAGTAAGTAATATTCATATAGTGAGAATTATGTTTAATGAGATTTATTAAAAAAGCAAAATCTGACTTCCATACAATTGTTCTGTAGTATTTGTATTATTGCTAAAGGACGGCAACTTGTATTAGGTAATAAACGAAAACAATTTATCAGGTGTTCACAAATTTGAGCACAGCACAACAAGATAATGTATTTTATATTGGCCAGTTTCATTACATGCTAACTTTGACGTAAAGTTAAACTTCAAATTAATAGAGTAACTTAAAAGTATACAGTATTTTAAAGCTTGACAGTGGTTTATAGACAAATTGAATGAAATTATATGACAAGTACTAGACTAGATTTTTCCAAAGCTAAGAAACAGTATTTAATGAATGTTATAAAATGTTGTGCACACTTCTTTTAAACAAACTTAGGCTTAACACACTGGTTATACAAGGATAGGTAGGAAGTATACATAATTGTGATGAAGCGATATTGGTGTTAAAAACGCAGTAATGTATAGGGCATTCTCGTTGAATGTACCAAAAAAGCGGCACGGTCCTATGTCTCGTTTTCTATAGACATTTAACTTAACTTTAACCACCTTGTATAGTTTGCTGTTTTTATTTAATTTTATTTATTTATTGAATGAAAAATTACTTAGTCACTTTAAAACACCAATTAATGCTACCGATTTTCCCTAAAACAGAGCATGAATGGGACCTACATAAATGGTGTCAAAATTCCCAAATATCAATTGCTCAAACTCAATTCGGGTGATATGGTCAGCTTTGGCATGGCGTCGGTGGAATTGGCAGAAAATACACTCGATAGGTGTGCATTTTTCAAAGTTTCTAAACTCGAAAATCCTGCTTGTCATCTGGACGAGGTATTTTTTTTTTCTTATAAATCCTGTATTATCTACTTCTACTTTAATTTTATCGTTCCAGCCTTACTCCGACGAAACCGTCGAGAACGAAGTGAATTCATCGACTCACCCGAATTGCGATAACTGTACGTCAGTCACAAATAATGTTACTTTGAGTCCGAATTTGTCCGCGGAAGATGTGGTCGGCTCTTCACAGAATCCGGACGATGTTATACTTATTGAGAGCGATAAGATAAACTTTCCAAATGAGGACTCATCAAGTGACTGTATGATTCTGGGCGACGATCAAAATGACCATCAGCAAATGGATTTTGAGCCCATAAGAAGTTCAAGAACGGAGTTGCACAGTGTCCAACAACCAAAGGACTTCCTTCGTGATGTAGCAATAATAAACGGAATAAATATCAATAAAGACTGCGAACGTGTAACTTCTAGCAGCAGCCTTTCGAAAAGTGTGGAAAATTTAAAAATTATCACAGGAAACTCTTGCGAAACTAGACTTTCCACATTTCAAAAAGTACATATTGGAAACTCTGGCAACGGAGAAGGTGGTTCCAGTTGTCCTAGCAAGGTAACCGAGGTACCCACATCAACAAATATTCCCAACATGGTTGCTCAGAGGAAAAGAGGTTCTAGCATTAATGAAAAAGGCGATTTAGAAAAACGAGACAAAGGTAGTGCATCTATTACAGCTAATAATGAAACTGAGGGACAAGCATTGCCTTCACGTGAAACAGAGAATGTTTATCCCTTACCGCTATGCAACGTAGAGAATAAATCCACTTCCATGGATAAGGTTCGCCAAAGGATGCCAAGTTCCGGCAATATTAAAAAACCTGATTTAGAAAAACGAGAGGAAGGAAATCTGACCAATAGTCATAAATCATTGTCTATTACATCTAACAAAACCACCGAGGGTCAAGTGTTACCCGCCTGTGATGCAGAGAAGATTCATCCTTTGCCTGTATCTGATATAGGAAATAAACCCACTTCCAGGAACAAGGTTCACCAAAGGAGGCCAAGTTTCGGCAATATTAAAAAAGCTGATTTGGAAAAACAAGAGGAAAGAAATCTGACCAATAGTCATAAAGCATTGTCTATTACATCTAACAAAGCCACTGAGGGTCGAGTGGTACCCGTGTGTGATGCAGAGAAGGTTTATCCTTTGCCTGTATCTAATATAGGAAATAAACCCACTACCACCAATATTCGTAAGAAGGTTGGCAAAAGGAGAACCAGTTCTGGCAGTGTTAAAGTAGCTCATTCGAAAAAACGAGTGGAAAGAAGTTTATCTGATCCTGATAAAGGCGAAGGTGACATGTTACCTGCTTATGAAGAAGAAAAGGTCCATTCTTTGCCTGTGTGCGATATAGGAGATAAACCCACTTGCACCAATATTCGTGACAAGGTTGGCAAAAGAAGAACAAGTTCTAGCGGTGTTAAAAAAACTGACTCAAAAAAACAATACGAAGGAAGTTTGGAAAGCAGGGATGGAGAACTTTTGGGTGTTATATGTAACAAACCACCTGAAGAGCCAGTGTTGTCCGCGTGTGAAGCACAGAAGGTTTGTCCTTTCCCTGTAGATGAGAAGTGTCCCAGTTCCACAAGTGCAGCGGGCTGCAGACTTATTTCTAAAACTCCGAGTGGTGCAGGAGACGATGAAACTGGTAGTTCAGATAAATGTAGCAATGAGTTCAAAAGGCGTGACAGAAGAAGTTCAGAGCATGATATACCTAAAAAGAAATCAAGACCTGATAAATCTAATGGACAGTTGTCGCTTAAAGTGGAATTGGTCACTGCAGCTGTTGAAAAAGGAGCAGTGTCCAGTTCACAAGGTGAAAAAGTGAACTCAGTTTTCTCGACAATCCAAGACGCATATGTCATCGAGTTATCTGACGACGAAGATATTTCCTGCAGTCAGCTGTCGCAAATGGTGAACCGGGTGAATTCAGTCAAAAACGAAGAATCCTATCAAAAGATAAAGGACGAACTGGGTCAGATGTACAATTTTGACGAGGAAATTTTAATAAACGCTGAACCGATAGCGGTGGAAGAAGCCGATTATAGACCATTTGAAAATACTCAAGAAATATGCAATTTCCTTGAAACCGAATCCTCGTCAGATGATGAGGAAGTAGTTCTGATAACAAATAATATATCCCATCAAATGTGTCCAAATGAGAAAACGTCAAGCGGTTTGGCAATATCCGATTTAGCTATCAATTCAAAGGATGACGAATCAAAAAATACACTAATCCACACGACAAAGCAAACGGAAATTTTAAAAACAAGAAAAACATGCGGTGATTTGTCTTCAGAAGCGAGCGAATCCAGAAAGGCCCTTCAAAAACGAACGTCCGATTTTACGAATATGCAGCAGGAATTTAAAAAAAGACAGTCTGCGAAAATCGCGATGGACAACAAAATTAAGGCAACAATTAAAGAAAAAAGGAGGAAGAGGCTTAAACAATTGTCTGACGTACAAAATAAAGCTGCAGATCAAGTGGCTAAAGGTGATAAATTCAAATCGACCCCAAAAATTTTGCCAGAGTCCAAAACGTTTAGAGGGGCCTTCCTCCTAGCAGAGCCTGAACCTGTGAAGTCTAAGACCTCCAGGAGATTTCTAGGAAGGGATTCTGAATTGGCAAGGCCGAAAACGCCATCAGCTGGACTCAGTACGTCAAAGTCAGTAGAATGTTTAAAACAAAACTTGAACTCATCTTTGACGACATCCAAAACCCCAAAATTAGATTCCATATTAAGTCACAAACTTCCTAATGTGAAAACATCAAAAGAAAACAATGAGGCTCAGATTAGATCGAATACTCCTAATCCAGAAAATTCTAATAGAAATCGATCAAGATCTAGAACACCTATCCTTTCGTCTACGAAAAATTCAGACAATCGCACTGGGTGCCATCTGTGTATCGAGGCGACTCCAAAATCTAAGACAGAAAAACCTCTGAAGTATGAATTGAAGCAAATTGATCTATCGCACTGCAAACCAGTCGTCAACACGGGAACAACATCTTCGCATGAAATGGAAAAAGGCTACACCACACCTCTGGCTGAAGTGGACATTCTGAGTTCTTATAACTCGATACCGAGATATAATTTGAGGAGTTCTAAGTCAGCTTCTGCCGAAGACGTCCTTCTGTCTCCTTCTTACTCCGCCAACGTTATGTGGGGAATTCACGATGAAAGACAAAGACAAATTAATACCAGGGCAGAACCAAAGAACCAAAGCGTTACTGACATAGTGCCGAAAATGTTACGGTGGTTGCCAAATTGGTTAGAAGAACAGGGTGACGTGGACGTGAGCCCGCCCGTTAACGAGCAACCGGCCAAAAGTATACCACTAGTATTCACCGACATCCAACATTATATCGACATATTTACGCCTTTTATTCTTCTGGAATCTTGGCAGTACCTATACAACAGGTTTAGGGAGTCCAAAGAGTAAGCACCGCTGATGAAATTTAATATATTCTGAAACAAATAATTTTATTTGGTAAAGCTTTGGGAGAACTCAGTGTAATAGTATCTTTTATTGGTAGCAAGGTCATGTACCTTGCCTTCAGTTGATCTTGATAACATTTTAATTGGCTGTAACTTTTTTGTTTTTAGATATATCAAGGTAAACAAAAAAGAAAATGTATGAGTAGTAGGCAAGCTTTTTTCGAAGCGACGTATAAAACAAAACGCTATCAATTTTCTGACATATAAGCCTACCTAATATTTTTGAACACCTTATTCCGATTAGAATGATGCAGCAAACTATATATTTTAGTCCACTCGTTTTTGACAAATCGGCAAAAATAGGAAATTTCTATATAGTTTCAAAGTGCCGTGTCTGACTACAACACCAATAATTGTTTACAAGTTAAAGTAGAACAAAAACACTAAAAATGACATGATATACTAAAGTAAAAAATTCTTTAACTATTCTAAATACTGCTGTATGTGACCACCATTTTCCTGAACACATTTCTCATACACTCTAATTGAATGATTGCCTCTGAAATCCTTTGATGAAGTTTCACGACATTATTACAAGTGAGTTCTGTGCACGTGATTTTTTATGTGTCCCCAAAAGAAAAAATCCATCAAAGTTAAGTCTGGCCTGTTGGCTGGCCAATCCATAGTTCCGCAGTTCCCTATCCCAACCCTTGGAATATTCCATGTTAAGAAATTTTTTAACTTACACAACATTGTGAGGAAGGGCACCGTCTTGCTGCCATATAATCAGTGCTGATATATTTAGGGGTAAATCTTCTATGTATTGTTCTATTTGGTGCTCTAAGAGTTGTAAATAATCATCTCCAGTTAACTTTTGATCGATAAATATTAAATAAATTTGTCTAGGATTATTTATAGAGCAATGTCGCGTATTTTGTCTATTACAACACTTTCTTGTAGTGATCGAACTTTCATCAGTCCGTAAAATGTTTTTCAAAAAATTATTATTCTCATTATGTCTATTTAAAAATCCAAACAGAACTGAATCCTCCATTGACATTGTTCTGCACTTAGTTTGTGAGTTTTACGAAACTTAAATGCATTATATTTATATTCTTTCAAAACTGAGTGTATTGATCCCCGAGAAATACCTGTCTCTTCTTATACTCTGGTAATAGAGAAAACTGGATTGGCTTCATTAAATCCTAATATGTTTGCCTTATTACCTTCATTTAAAACATTATGATTTCGGTATACCTTTTCAGCATGTATTACATTACCGTTTTCTTCAAATTTCTTTGGCAGCCTTGGAAATATCTGTTTTGAAGGAGCTCTATATAAAGTCTAATATTTATTATTCAGAAACTATACTTGAAGCATATCCCTCCCTTCAAGGATGCAAAATCCGCGAAAAACCATTTTAACAATAATGACTTGAACAATAATTCAACCATCAACGTTGTTTACTAATATGTCAAACATAAACGTTTTTTTTTTTGTCACTGTTTGAAATTGTATAAAAATTTCTTGTTTTTGCCGATTTGTCAAAAACGAGTACCTAGACTAAAATATAAAGTGTGTTATATCATTGTAATCGAAATAAGATATTTTATTAAACACATACATAATATTAGTTTGCCATTAAAAAAAAATGATGTAGGCTTATATGTTAGAAAATTGATAGTGTTTTGTTTAATACGTCACTTGGAAAAAAAACTTTGCTACTAACCCTTCATTTTGTTTTTTTGTTTACCTTGATATCTCTAAAAACAAAAAAGTTACAGCCAATTAAAATGTTATAAAGTTAAGTTGAATGCACGGTACATAATTTACCTATGAACTTCAAAATCAAAATTGTTACTTCAAAAAATGAATACTTGGTTCGCTAATTACGGGATAGCACCTTATCTGTAAAGAATATCAAAAAAACTTAAAAACCAAAGTTCTGGAAAATTCTAGATATATTTTATATTTTTATATTTATTATCGTGCATGAAAATGCCATCTTCGCCTATAGTGATCATTCAAGGCACAACATGATCATTTAGGATTCCCGTAATATATCTGTGAGCTGTCAGAGAGCCATTCTGTATAAGGGTTAACTGTGAGCGTGCTTCCCAACTGATTTCTGCCAAAATCATAAGCGAACCACCACTATGTCGAAGTCTTTTATCAATACAACTTGGGGCATATCTTTCTTCGGGTCTCCTCTATACTCTACGACGTCCATTTGACCCAGTGAGGTAAAAATAGGATTCATCGGAAAACAGTACCTTGATCCATTCATTATCATTTCACACTACGTTATTTCGGGCAAAGCTAATCTTGCTATTCGATGCCGTCGGTGTAATCACGGCCCTGTAGCCATCCTTCGATAAGACAGTCTATTAGCATGAAGCCTTCTTCTAACAGTCCATTCGCTAACATTAACATTTCTAACTTCTTGACGTTGATTTCGAAGCCAAGCAGCAGAAGCTGTCTTATTTCGTAATCTTGCGGACACCAAAAATCGATCATCCCTTTGGTTGGTGATCCTTCTTAAATCGGATCCTGGCCTTCTAGTCATCAAGCCAGTCTCCTCGTAGCGTTGGTATACATTTTGTACAGCCCATAGACTCCTATTAACAATTCCCGTTTTCCTCGATCTTCTTGTATTAATGCTTCAATTCTAGCCACAATAAGATCTAAAGGACTTATGAACGGTTAAATACACCTGAGATCTAAAATACACCAAACTGTCATAAGTTTTACGGAGATAAACCAACAATAAACTGGAAAGTATCTAACACACGAACTTTTAATTAGGCCGAACTTCCGCTATTTGTAAGTTTTGTAAATAGTATTACATTACATAGTATTACATTAACCTGTGGATTTATGGAGACATCAATCGCAAAAGCAGAAAATTAAAAAATATCCGACTAAAACTGGCAAGATTATTATTAGTATTTGTTACGTTGTAGCATAACGTCTTCGAAAATCTAGTTTCGCTTTATTTCGAGAAAGAATTCATCATACCCGTAAGGAAATAGATCAAAGACTCTTCTGTCTCTACATCTTTAAATTGCTTCCATCTTATCCCCATTTGAGTTCGATACCTTTCAAACATGATTCATGACAAAGCTTTAAATCTTCGTTTATGTTCTAGCCAAAAACATTAGTGAAACCATCAAACTCTTCTCCACTACCAAACCCTGTGGTAACTATCTCATCGCACCAATTTTCGGATATGGAAAAATCTTCTTGCAAAAGGTTCCAACTTCGTCCTTGCCCCACGTATTATCGGAAAAGAGGAAATCATATCAAATGTCGAGTCCTTACAAACTTCCATCTTAAACAGCTAATGAAATTCGATTTCGAAATTCGAAAAAATCAACAAATCCTAATCTATTCCAAAGCCTGAACGCATTGCTCTAAAATCTCTAAGATCTAATCCTGACATCGTAATCCTAAAAGCAGATAAAGAAATGCTACGGTGGTCATGAACACAAATGAATATCAGGAAAATATTCAAGATGTTCTTATAGATGGACCCTATCGTCAACTTAAAAAAGATCCTACGTCATCAATTGAATGCAACCTTAAATCTTTTTCAGACTCCGGAAGAAATCTGCCACTCCTCATGACTCTAAAATTCCTCGTCTCTACGGACTCCCTAAAATTCACATTTCAGGATTACCCCTTCGTCAGCACTTCAACATATTCTCTAGCAGAATATTTAGCTTCTATATTAAAACCCGAAACTGATAGTTTCGCACTTAATTCCTTTCAATTAAAAATGGTTGTCTGGAACATGTTCTCTTTAAAAAAAAAATTTAAGCGTTCCATCACGAAATACACTTCACTACAACCTTTCAATAGCAATGAGCCTGAAAGCAATCCCACACTTGCCACTGATGTCCTTCCTTACATTCAAAACATCACTGATATATCAAAAGAGTTAATGTTATCATATTTAGCATTTCGAAAAAAGGGTGACTTTATATGAGGCAATTTAAAAAAGTTGTAGTTATCGACATATTAGCACTAAAAAGGTTTTGCAAAAATTCGAAATATGGTGAAAAAACAATCGATTTGTGAGTTGGGACAGCAATGTGGGACAGTTTTATGTATGTAGAACGTTTTTATAAAAACTACTAATGAGAAATAAAGCAAATTAAAAAGACAGTTTATTATTTGCCATATTCAGGAAAATCTATATAAGAATGAGATTTTTATTAAACTGTTAATCCTAAATTGAATTAACTTTGTGTTAAAAACTTAATTACCCGATGTGATTTATAAGAATTTAAAAAAATGTTAAACGCAGTAAATAGTAGGGTGTAATTTCTGTAGTCCTCGATTGTTATTTTCTGTAATGTTTCGGTCTGACTTTCTTGACTATTTAATGGAAGTATCGCATTTTTAGAATAGAAAAACGGTGTATTACTAATATTTCGAATTCTAAAACTTTTTCAAAAAACAAACTGATATAAATGCATCCTTTGTATAGATACTTAATAAGATAAAATTATAAAATTGTTAATGGTAGTTTTTGATCTCCTGTTTTTATGTATTTACAAGAAAAATAATATAGATCAAACAAGTAGCATTCTGTAAAACATCACTTTTGGCATAAAATTGAACAATGTCAGAAGTGGTAAGACTTAGGCAGATACGAAATATTTCTGGAAAATTCCGATGGGATCATAAATTTTATAGAATTGACTGGAGCCAATATTCTTGAATAATGGGAAATAGAAATTGTTGCTAAATAGCAAAAAGTGGGCATTTTTTCCTAAAATGTCAATTCTTGAAAATTTTCTGTTAAGAAAAAAGCAAAAATTTTTACTTCCCAGCTGTAAATCTAATCTATTGGTTATGAATTATAGAAATTAGTATAACCAGTTTATGTAGTGGGTAGAGATAGGAAGAGATGTGATTCTTCGAACGGATCCCGTTTAGGTTTCAAACAGAAAATTTATTTACCTATTTACATTAACAACACAATTATCGACGTTCATTCGTAGTTCATTTCTATACCCCCTTTTCAAGAAAAGGGGGGGAGCCCCAAGAAATCTGTTTGATTAAAGGTTGCATGCAAGCAAAGTAATATTACTTCACTAAAAGAATCATTTTTTTAAAGCGTATTATCAAGCACCATTATAGTGAATACGTTTTTGCTATCACGAAAACATAAAAGTGAAGACAAATTTAGACGGATCATGATTTATATAATTTTTATTCTCGATTTTCTAATGTTATAATTTTATCTTTTGTCTTTCCATCGCTTTTTACCTTAAATATCCCAAATATGTATATATACTTCTGACGCAAAACCCAACTTTCATAATTATTTTTATTTCTTAGTTCACAAGAGATCCGTGCCGTTAAAATAGTCCATCACAGGATTCACGACAATATTTTGTACATCGACGCTTCCTGTAAGTTGAGTCAATTAAGCTAGGTCGTTAGTTGATGATTAATTTTAAGGTTACATCACCGAAGAGGAGGCCAAAACGAACAGTACCTTTAAACCCGAACATTTTGTGTTGTTGGAATTAGAACTGAAACGGGGCCAAACACGGTACAAGTCACTAAAATTTGGGTTTATTCAGAAATCTAAAAGAACTCCGATTAACGATAATGACTTCATTTCCGAATCTAGTAAGTGGAATAAAATGTTTATTCCTCCCCTAGATATCTTTAAAGCCTATTTGGCGATTTTATATCAGCATACAACTTTGGTCACACTAATGCATTGTGTTATTGAAATGACATTATATAATCTAATTGGTGAACCGAATCAATATTTTGTCTGATCGAATTCTGACAAAAATAAGGAAATCAAAGAATTTCCTCAGCATATAAGCTATATAGCGCGCTTGTTTGCTTTCTCCATTGTTTAATCACTTATCTAGCTATTAAAGTAAATCTTTGCTTCGAGAATAATTTCCTAAATGCAATTTAGACAATACCCAAAGGATTGCGTTTTCGTCCAATTGCATAACACGCAGTGGACAGTCCAATAATTGGTTTGGTATTCGAGTTAACGATAATCTGAATTGGAAACACCATATATTCCTGACTTGAATAATAAGCTATCAGATAATCTTAATCTCTTCGTTCATCACCGCCTAAGAGGTTTCAGAGGTTCAGCGTGAAAACCTTTTTTATGATTTATTTTCTTTTGTTTCCCTCGCACTTATGAGGCGACGCTGTGGGAATTTAATATTTAGCTTGACGAGTCGTTACGCTATACTTCCGGAAATCTCCTTGGAGAGACGTTAAGTTTAGACTCAGGACAACTGAGAGAGAATATAGAATAGAATAGACTAAGAATATTATTCAAACATACAGCGGCATTGTTTTTACTCGGTGCGAGCATACATTGACACATTTTCACAATTTAATTTCCGCTCATACTAGATGTATTTTTATCTATGTTACCATACTTCTATTATATTATTTTTTCGATATGTACTTATACACGTTTCATAATTTGATGTAAGTGTCTGTGTAAAGTTTTTTGTATGTTTATAAATAATAGCCTGCATTTTGGAAAATTGATTGAGAAATGTGGTTTACTTAAAGTGTAAATGACAAAAGGCAGGCGATGTTGCTTTTTTTGTGTTGTTTTGTTATCTGTTATTATTACACACCACGTAAAGTGTGCCTCAAATTACATCGTCTTGGCTTTTGGCTGAATCTGCCCGAAAAAATTAATTACGACATTCATACCTATCGGCACTGGGTAACCCAACATCTCGTTATAAGATGCAAAACAAATTGTGAAAAATTTGTATGAATGTTTAAGAAGTAGATGATTCATTAAACAAGCTTCAAAGGAAACCTGGCTTACAGTGAATTATATATGTGATATATATGATACGAAGAAAAATGTATCCCCTGTATCAAAACCATATTGTTCTTACTTTTCATATACTGAAAAGGAAACTAAAAGAAGGTGAAACCAATATGTGCCACGGTCCATAGATTTATCTATAAAATTGTATTTAAATACCGCAAAATTGACGAAAAACCAGTGGCAATGAAATTCTAGAATATTTGTTAAACAATGATATTTATTAGTTGCAAGATAGGGCAAATTTTTGAAGTGTTATCATATGCTATTAAGAAACAATGTGTATTTGATAGTCTAACTGATCTTATGGGGTATACTATTTTACGTTCTCTTCCATTACATTGTATATTCATCCCCACAGAACATTTGTGGCACCAAGTAAAATAAATTAGATAAAAATGTAATTAATAATGCACCTGTTGAGACCTGGAAAAATGCAATACAGCCAGCACATTCTAAAAATTAAGGAATATTACGTTTTTATTCAAAATTACATAGATCCCAGTGGAATTAATTTTAATGGTGACTGTGGAAGTGAAACAGATTTAAATTATGACTAAAAAATACCTATTTATGTAATTATTGATAATTTCTGACTCTTCTGATTGGTCTGGGGTTTTATTGCCGTTGGCAGGGTATTTCGAGAATTGTCGTTAAAAGCCCAGACCATAATTATATTGAGACAAACTATACGTATATGTTGTTTTAGTGGGACATCTATGCAAAGGTATCCCTCATACCCACCTCGAATTTACCGTCATAACAATGCATCTACCAGGCAAACGTCTTTACGGCAAAGGATTCATAATGAAACCCATCGCCAATATAAGTTGCTATCTTAAACAGATAACCAATGTCAAACGTTTGGCGTATTCTCCATTGCGAGACAGAATTCTGAATCCGAAAATCGACGACTATCGCATAAACGTCACTCATAAGGATCTTGCCATGCCGGTAATCCCAAATCATAACGGGTAATTCATTAGTGGTGGCAGGGTATATCTTGGGGGCTGTTAGTCGTGGAGTATGGGAAAAAATTATTGAGTTTAAAACCTCTGAGACTACGACTAGGACACACTAAATTACACTCCTATGCCTGTTAGATCCTTAGATATTCCACATAGTCACCGCTATTGAATCGCCCGGTTTTCATTGTTTATTTTTAATTTTAGTTAAAACTCAATCAGAAGCAGAAAGAAATAGTTTTGGAGGCTGCGAGCCTTTGTACCGGCCAATCCCCCGGTATATTTTGTATCACGGGCCCTCCTGGCACCGGAAAATCCACCGTAATAGCTAGTTTGGTGCTGCAGATATTGTTCAGTAACCGTAAGAACGGGGTTGCTCCTCAAATCTTGTTAGTTGCGCCGTCCAATACTGCGGTCGACTGTTTGGTGAGCAAATTGGTCGAAAAAAAGCATAATTTGCCAAAAGGTAAGACTTGCCCGCGGTTATTTGTTTGGCAAAAGTCGAAGTCGAACGCTAGATAAAGCTGAACCCGATACAGCGCAGGCACTCTGCCGATAGAAAAGAAAATGCGAATTTGCTGCAAATTGGCCAATATAGTTATAACTTGAGTACCACTCAATGCATTTAAATTCTAAAAACATACCGTATTAGAGTTTGTTTAGGTTATAACTTGAGAGTAGGAGTATGCTTCATAACAATCAATAAATGTATTAATAGAAACAAATTAATTATATGGAAAACCATTGTAATGTCTTTTTTATGTATTGTATTTTTTCTTTGTCGTTATAACTGTTATTGTAATATTGTCTAAAAAGTAACTGCTATCGTAGACAATTATTTTTTATTACCTTTTATTTTACCTGGATCCATTAAATTAATTATTATGAATACTACTAATATTGCAAACACGTTTAGTGGATTCCAAGCAGCCAAACTATTTTTTTTTTCATTCATTTTTCACCTAAATGAAAAATCCGCGTCTCTTAATATAATAATGAACATAAATTGTTGTATAATATAATTGTAATAATTTAAAGTTCTAAATAGCTTAATTTCAACACACCTTTAGGGTCGCTACCTAACTGCGTTTACTTGGAATTAAATTGAAGAAATATTTTATTTTTATTTCTGACTTCTCTCCTTCATCGAAGTGTTAAGCGTTGTTGACTACCAAAGCACGGGCGGGGATTGAGTGTCCGAGGTATGTGTTAGGTTCAGCTATGATTGGCAGCTTTGAATTTCACATATTTCTACGCACAATTTATAGCATATAGTGTCAACAACGTTAACTAACCAAAACATACACTTTGTGTTGTAGATTGGGAAAATTTAAGAAATCACATCAAATTTGTTCGATTCGGTCCAGAGGGTAGTATTAATCCCACAGTAAAGGGTTATAGTGTACAAAACCTAGCTGTAAAATATATGCTAAGCCAGTGCTGGAACCAACAGCAAGACGTTAGAGAAAATATGAACGATATCGAAGTTTGCAGGCGGGTGTATGGTAACAGATACTCTGTCGAACTTCGAAAATCTGAGGATATGATATTAAGACAGTGCAACGTTGTTTGTACAACATTGAACAGCTGCGTTAATGGAAAGCTGATCGATTCCGTTAATAGGTACTACATAAAATTTAACGTAGTCACGGAATTTGGAAAGGTTATATTGTACATAGAGAAAATTCTTTATTTTTTATTGAAATAATTTTAGTGTATACATGATTTTTTCAGTTATAAATACAATTTTTCATAAGTGAAGAATCTAAATATCCCAAATTTTAGGTGCCTTTGAAATGACATCAGATAATTTATTCGCTGAATGTTGATCCTTCCCTGTTAGCGATCAAATTCAGGTTAAAAAAGACTTTTTACAATTCTCCCCATTGTTTCTCGAGTAATGGCATTTCCTCAATAATATATATTTCAGTAACACTATATAATTGGAAAATTCTGGATATCTTGAATACCTGCCTGGGGCAGTGGCGAGAAGGTTTTAATTGATTCACGATGAGAGATATCTATGTCGCTGTTTATGTTGTTAGCGTTCAACCAACCAAAACAAACCAACCTGTTTCTCCGATGTATTCTTTGCCATAGCTGCACAGTATTTTGTAAACGCGTGCTGTCTCATTGGAAATTTTTTCCTTAACAGATCGAAGATGTTGAGAAATTTTAGTAGAAAATCTAGTTTTCATGTTAAATTTTTTTAGAATTTTTGATATTTGACATTTTGAACGAATGGCAAACGGAGTCTCAATTACCGAGTTACTTTGTGTAAATGGATCTGGTCGAGTGCATTTTTTGATAGAACATATATCTTGATAATAACCATTCAAAATGCAATATAATTTCTGTTTCTACATCAAGAGCTTCTATAAAATTCTTTCTATAAACAAGGTAGTCCAGATGATGTTTCTAGTATCAAAGATCTGGCCGTTAAACGGAGCATACATTTTTAAAACAAATTGCTTACATTATTTTAATGCTGATGTACTTCCTGCTGCTCCAGGAATATTTGATAAAAATAACCTGTATATCCTGCCGGAGCAACTAGATCAGCTCATAGTTTTCACTATACAATTCACTGTACAAATTTCGGTATCAATAGCTTCATTTCTAGACCTTCTAGATTAGCCACATCAAGACTGTCTGGTTGAATTTTTGGCACCATTCTACCATTTTCTTGAATCTCTAATAATAAGTCTATAATAATTGGAGGTAGAAAATACTATTCTTCATGTAACCGGCAATTTTTTTACATTGCTTAAATATTAGTAGTATAGTCTTGAATTCTCTCTTTATCTATCTATTTGTTACGGATAATCATTTTCTATTTTATTTTATTAGTTGCTAATTGAAATGTAGATATTATTCTTAATAATTCTCTTTTGCAATATTTTCCTTAAAAAATATTTCCTGTATTTTTACAAATTATTTTAGGCAGTTTTTAAATTTTTCTTGTTGCATCATCGATGAGGCAACGCAGTGTCACGAGGTTGAATCTCTGATGCCGCTCACATTGGGCATAAACAAACTCGTCCTCGTCGGCGATCCCAAACAGTTAGCGGCAACTGTTACAAATATGGTAGGTTGACATAAAATGCACTTCCCGAAGCTCCTTAACGAACCTCTCCGATCTTAGGAAGCCGCGGCTCTAAATTACGGCCAAAGCTTTTTCAGTCGTGTCGCAAATGTTTTCGGTATTGCGGACCCACGAAGTCCTATAAAAATGCTGACCGATCAATACAGGATGCACCCGGAGATATGCTCTTTTCCCAACAGAGCTTTCTACGGTGGGAAACTAATGTGAGTCAAAGGAGCGTGCAAACTCCACAAAGATCCCATTCGACCCATGTATTTGGTAACAGGCGAACGTTCGTTATTCGCCTGAATATTTGTTTCGTCGTCGTCGCACATACCGTCGACAACATTCAATAATAAATGAGAACAAAACAAAAACAGTACAAAACACACACTGGACAATGCAGATAGATGGATAGAATTTGATGGTTTCAGGTATTCCTAGCATACATATATGTCGAACAATGCTCGATTTTTGAGAAAAGTTGAAATACGAAAAACCTAAAGTTATCGTAACATTCTGAATTTTTTTTTCTTGCCTCCCAAATCCACTCCGACAAAACAAATTATTACTGTGGTCATGTTAAATATTTGAAAAAATAAGAATTAGAATATTACTCTTGATTAGGGTTGTGGAATTGACCGGTAATAGTATATTATGCAACAAGTGCGTTAAACGGCATTTGACTCACGAGTTTATTTGACACAAGTGGAGCGCAGCGGAGCGAGTTTTTAATAAACGAGTGAGTTAAAAAGTTTACCGAACGTGTTGCATACTATACTTTTTCTACGACCGTTAGTTTTTGACTTCTGACATGGCATCTGACATGACCGTCAGAATTGACAAACGTCAAAATTCAAAGCAATATCTCCGAAAACATCTGATTGCTCCCAAATCCGTGCGTATTTTACAGACGGGAGCAGAAAAACTTTTTATTACCGAAATAATCTGAAAAATGCAATTCAATTTATATTTATTTACTTTTATTTATTGTGCGTTACTTCACCATTGCATCGTTTTGAAATCTAAATGGAGTAGATATTTTTATTGGAATTCCCTGAACTGCTAAGTATCGTATTCGGATATTCTTTGATGAGGGTGATATTTTATTAGAAAATACAAATTATCATTAAAGAATGATTGATAACACTCCACAATTGCAAGATGTTATTTAAAACATTTTGATCGAATTTTACTAGTGACTAGTGTAAGTATACAAGTGCCTGGAAGACTCAGTATTTTCAAGTCTGTGAATTTTTGCTCCCGTGCGCAAGGTAAAAAATACTGTTGTGGTATGGCAAATACACGCTGATATCGTTTATATAAATCAAAAACAAACCACAAACAAAAACAAGGTCTTGGGACCTAACCCCGAGGCACTCCATATGGAATTAGGCTTTTTTCAGATTTTTGTTTATTGTAAGTTGGTATTCATCATTTAAATAGTATGAAAAGAAAAACCAAACCATACGACTGGCCGAATACCGAATATTCGCCAAATATACGGGTCGTCTAGGGACGATTCGAAGCATGTGACAAACGTCGGTTACTTTTACAGATCCGTACCGAATCATTCAAATAAATTACCATCCGATATTCGCCCTTATTTAGTTTTTAATATCGCCACCGAGAAGAGCAACGACATCAGCGACTATATCAATCTGGATGAAGTGCATTTCATAAAAATGCTTCTTAGCACTTTGTTGAACAGGTTGAACAAAGATAAACAGTTTAGCATCGGTGTGATAAGTCCGTATAACGCGCAAAAGGATATTATTAACCGCAATTTGTACGACTTGAGGTAAATCATACCGGTATTTTGTCCAAAATTTGATACGCTTGTTTTGTAGTATAAATGCTAACATCAAATTAACAGTCAACACAGTAGATAGCTTCCAAGGTATGGAAAACGATATCATTATTATATCATGCGTAAGGAACTCGACGAATTCTTTTGTGCAAAATCTGAACCGTTTGAATGTCGCTCTGACTCGGGCCAGACATGCTCTATACGTGATTGGAAATTATACCTTATTTAAGGTAAGTGATGTCTTATTCGCGATGCACCTGGTAGGAACGTAATTTGTTACTGTCAAATTTCAATACTTGCTAACTAAATTTATTGCAGACAAAAATATATTTATTTAAACAAAAACTAATAAAAAGTGGTGAATAAAGGTATCTTTGCTAAAATATCTGCGTAGTCTATAACGTCCTGTAATAATATTTATAATATTTTTTTGCAGGAATGTAGAATTCTGTATGACCTCAGAGAGGATGCGAAGAAGCGAAAAGTTTGTTTAGATATTAAGCAGGATCCTTCGACGATAACAAATTTCAGTCAGTATATATTTAATAAGGGAACTTAATTTAGTTTCAATACGTACAACTATTCGAAATATTTTACTACATTTTTATTTGTGAAACTCTTGAGAATATTGTTAAATAAAATAAAAGATAAGGTTCCTAGTGAGTAAATTACGATGCCATATTAAATGTGTTAGAATGAGAATTATAAGTTAACGATTATGTGGTAAGTTTCTGTATGCCGAGAGTTACTTTTTATATTTTCATGGAATTCATTCACACTTATTTAAGGTCTTTTTCTATTTCTCTTACTATTTTTGGACAACTGAAGAAAATAATGTCCTTAATTTTCGTTGGTTTGTATATGTATGCTTACTTTTCAATAATTTTCGTAGAGTGATTGATTGGATGCAACATATACAGAAGAAATAAATTTTTGTTAAGTTTATTTCGTTTTCAATAACTGTAAACTTGCTAACGTTAATCGGACTTGCAGCTGAATTAGATAAAATTATCTTACGTTTGCAAGACTTCAATTTTGTTCAATAGTTTTCACGATTATCCTGCTGAGAAAAAAATACTTGCTTTAATTTCACAAACACTATAAATCTTCGAACAACTTTCACTTGAACCTTGATGCCGTACACAAATTGTACAGGATGAAACTTAGTAGAAGTTCATATTATCTTAGATCCGGAAATGCTGTGTTTTGAATATATGGTGTGTTAAAAAAAACGGCTTTTGTAACAGTGCGAGAATCCTTACATCGCATCTTGGCTATTTGTCTACATCGAAGTGGTCGTTTTCTTTAATATTAATTTTTTAAATTTATAGTTTATCAAAGAAATGTGTTCATGAAAATACGTTCTGCCAATTTTTGTAATTTGTATTTTTTCGCTCGAAAATGAGACAACTTGCGAAAACTCAAGAATCAAAAAATTGTACTTCTACTGTAGTTTCAGTCAAGCTCTGAAGAAGCCAACAGGATGACTGGCGAAACGTTAGCTAGTTCGACTCGACAAAAACCGACGCAGGAGGAATCCAGAAGTTCTGTAAAAAGTATTACAGTAGCCTGTGGAAGTTTCTTTGAAAAAAAAAATAGTTCCATCATAATTTTCATACTGCTCCAAATTTGATAAAATTTAAGAGCTGAACAAAATTATTTCTATCTTATTTTCTAACATTAGCTTCACAACTTCTGAAAGTTATATTGATTTTTCCTTAACTGATAATAAACTTTGCTGTTTTGAATTTTACTATAGAGACAAAAAGGTGGCCTAATTAATTCTTATAACGCGCATTTGCCATTTTGTCAAGAATTTTGAGACTGATCATTACCATAGCCAGCAGAATTATAGATGAATAAAATCTAAATTCATTTTCGGCGATATTTTATCTTGTGGACTCTAATATACAGAACGTTAAAAAGTATGTATTCGCATTGTGTGTTGACATTTTTCGGCCCAAATTTTTTAAAAAACTTTGTCAAAATACAAGTTGCCAGTAAAATATTTCAATGTGTTTCAATATGAACGTTTCAGCCCTGTATTGGACCATCCTCACTAAAAGCGTAGGCACAGATATATGCTGAAAATTTCATGAATGAAAAGAAAATGCTTACAACAATAGAAACATTTATTATTTATTGTTTAAATTTAACAGTAGGTTTTACACTAGATTAATGTTATTATGATTTTCTGTTCATTGTTTTAAAAAACGAAATGAGCAATAAATAGTATATTATGCAACAAGTGCGGTAAACGGCCTTTGACTCACGAGTTTATTTGACACGAGCGGAGCGCAGCGGAGCGAGTTTTTAATAAACGAGTGAGTTAAAAAGTTTACCGAACGTGTTGCATACTATACTTTTTCTACGACCCTTAGTTTTTGGGTACATTTTCGCAAAACACAAATACTTCACTGACATGACTGTCAGGATTGACAAACGTCAAAATTCAAAGCGTGGGAAATATCTCCGAAAACATCCGATTGCTCCCAAATCCGTACGGTAAAATCCCGGAAATGTCCGAAGTGGCTCGGATTCATGGGAAACGAAACTGACGTGGTAAAGTAGCAAAGGTAGAAAAGGGTATTTTTTTTTTATCTTGAGGTATTTTACATATTAGTCGAAAACTATTTTATTTGTGCAGGAAATAAAAGGCTTATTTTCATTTGGTATTTGTTTTGAAAAAATGCCCTAGTCTTTGATAATTGATATTTACAACAATTTCGACTGTTAAATTCTTCTGCTTATCAAAATCCATTCAGATGCGACAAAAATCGATTCAGACTTTGAGATTTAATTAAGCACTTGTCACGCCGCCGAAACGTGGTTTTGGAGACTATAAAAATGATACAAATTGGAACAATAAGGCAAATTTTCGAAAACAGAAATTTCGCACGCCCGCGAAGCGCGATGGAAATAGACGAAAAATTTGGACCGGGTCTAACGCGGCGAGAGTGGGGTGACGACGCTCCAACGTTGCCAGCTCATTCCGTGGTATTTCGACAACCGTTCTGTTATTTTCCACAGTAACTTATGTTTTTGTTTTAATTAGCTACTTTGGTTTTAACGATTGCCAAATGTTTGTTATACTTTGTATAATGGTGTCAGTATCTGTCACCGATTTTAGCAATTTTTTCTTACTTGCGAAAGGAAAGCTGAGATACAGGGCTTTTGCAAAATTTGTTTGGCGGTTCAAAAAAATATAGATCTTTGAAATTTGGTTTCTGTTTTTTTTTATAATTCGATTTAATTTATTTAAGAAATTGACTTAAAAACTGGAAGTATGAAATATTTAAAAATTCATCAATTTATTTTGTTCGTGAAAATTCAAATGTTTTTCTTCTTTATTAAATTGATTATTTTTTTACTTGAACTTTATTTAAATTAATTTAATTTATTGTAATTATTTTACCTAAAAATATAAGTATTAAAAATTTCATTCATAATTGATTGAGAATTGAGTGTTTCTTTTATTTCTTTTAAAATTGTTTTTTCTGATATCAATTTAGTTTTATTTATTTTTGAGGTTCGCTTAAAAACTGCAAAAAACTAGTTAATTATTCATAGCAATTTTGATTTTAGTATATTTGGTTTATTTATTTATACGTTTATTGACCAACATTGGTACCATATACCAATTACAGATCAGAAATCTTAAAAATATCAAAAATATTACCCGAAGCTTAATATACTATAGTGATACTATTTTTGCCCTGCAAATATTACCCAAAGCAATACCTAGCAAAAGCAAACAAGCTATAAACAACAAAAAATCGAAATTATTTCTGCGCTAGATTAATGTTAATTTATTTGACTCCCTCTCGTAATGAAGATCGGCAAAAACTTTTGATACTGGATGTTTCAAAAAACCTTCATTTATAGGTAGAATATTAATAAATAACATAAACAGTTTTCCTACTATTCTGAACTTATTACCAATCAGTTCAACAAAGACTAACGCAGATCTTAACAACTTGAACTTATTTGCAACAAATCACAACCTAAAAGTTGTAAATACAGCAAAAAATTTAGGTTTGACTTTTGACTCTATCATTTGATTTTCATATTAAAAAAAACTTAAAGCCAGTTACATGCGCCTTAAGCATTTACAAATTGAGCTTTTGTAGCAATATGCGCACCCCAACACCTTTTTTTTTTTCAATTTATTTTTTTCTATTATGTATAGCTCTGCGATATATTAGCGCGCTTTTAGGTTTGATGCTATTCTAGATTCTGGGCCTTCTCGCTCTTTTAGAAAGGTGTTAATGAATGGTTATTATAATCGAGGTTGGGTCCTTTTTGTCAAAATTTGATTTGTGGTGTAGTTCATGAAATTATATTGTCTTTTCTTTGATAAATAAAGGATATATTATTATTATTACGATTATATTATTATTATTATATACTTAAACCCTTCCAGAAATATTAAAAATAAAGCATATTTTGAGGGGCGCTTTTACAGAGGCATTTTTTTCACTCTTATTTGTCAAACTAAAAAATTTTTTTAATTGACCCTAAACATCGTTTAGTCAGTTTTAGAAACAATACGTCAACAACTATTATTACGATAAAAATATAAATAGGTGTAGAGAACGGGAAAAAATTTAAATGACGTAAATCAGAGGTTAGTTTAATTTAGTTTAGTTAGTAAATTTGCATAAGAGAGGGACGGAAAGAAAAAATAATGTGAAATTGATTAACGGAACATCCTGTGCAAAAGTTTCCTGGTTTGCTTACTATTGCTGTTTATATGAATAAAAACAAAAGTTTATTTCGAAAAAAAGGTCTCGGACGCTTCTGCGAAGGGGCGAACCAGCTTGCTATTTTTTCCCCGGAGCGTGAAAAGTTCCGACTGAATTGGCAACGTCGCGTCGGCGCTTCCGTCCATATTACATCGACGTCCGAACGACCTTGCAGTGCCCTTGCTGCCAGAGTGCGGTGATAGTGGTAGAAAACGGCAGACACCGTATCTCAACGCCTTTTGCGTGTGTGGTGGCTTTCTTCGGGCTCCTCGGCCGCAATTTCGAGAGCTTTCGGACGTTTAGCGACGTTTTCACAAGGTTTGTTTTGATTTATTTTTTATTGAGTTCGCCGTACCTGATGAGGGAATCGTATTGATGACCTAGGTTAGGGACGAACTAATTTATCTGCGGTTTTTGTTTACCTATTGCTTCTTCTTGACGAGGTTACCGGTTCAATAATGAATGGATGAATGGAATAGGGGTTCCGTGTCAGTCCATTTTGCGTTTCTAGCTTCAAAAATGTACCCTTAATCGTTTCAACTGTTTATTTTTATTTGAATAATTTAGGTAAAATGTTTTAATGAGTTTAGTTTAATTACCCAGACTCAATTTTCATTGCTCGTGTTATTTTTGAATGCTTTTTATTAACATAGTTCTTACTGTTAATGTTCTTTATTTATTTTTAAGTTACGCTGTGTTGTCCCCCATATTCGCCTCTTATAAGAAGCGAAATTTAAACAATTTTATGAAATCTACAAAATTGGATTTTTTTTCATTTCTGTTTAATTCGTTTTTTTTTAAGCAATATAATGGTAAAATATTATGATCACTGGCAACAAGAAATGCGTAAATACTTTGCGTTTTATAAAATTTGGCAGTTAGTGAATTTTGCGAATATTATTTTTATGTATTTTCTTATACAACCAGTTGCTAATAAAATAATACATAATTTTCTTCGTTGTTGTTTATCGCGTTTTCATATTTAATGTTCTAATATCATCACGGTGGAAAATATAAACAGATTACAGAACAAGAAGAAAGAAAAGTGATAAATTGGATAACAAAAAAGCAACGCAGGAAACCATTGTTATATATATTTTTTATTCGTAGCTGACTATACTAAAATCCCAATACTAAAATTACCAAAATTCTTATCTAAATAAGTATTAGATATCTTGATTGATTAGCAATTATTTCGGGTTTGGTATGTCAAAATCGAATTCAAAATACAAGGTGTTAGAAATTTTACTTTACATTGGTCAAGTCTGTTGTTCTTTGCAGTTGAAGAAAGAACTTTGTGACATCCAAAACTTATTTTCAGCACTCGTATATTTCTGATAAATTCCTATAGATATAATTTCACGTTATCATGAAATTTTTTTGAACAAGCGCAATTGCCTTTCGAACTTTACGTCAATATTACGGAACGATTTTGACCATAAAGTGCCGCCAAATTGCAAAAACAAATGTAGTAGACAAAATAAACGTGTTATTGTTTACCGGAATGTCAAATGCTAGTTGAAGATGTGGCTACGTGCGTTTACAACCTAAAGCAGCCGTCATTCCGCAAATATTTTGTGTTTGGATCGTAGATAAGACCACCGAAATAATTTTTATCTTGTTTTATTGCCAGTATTCAGACGATCGTGTCTTATGTTTTGGTTTTATTTTTACATTTCGCTATTTTTAGCTTTCAAAATAATGATTCGCTCTCGCTACGCGAACGAAACTCGTTCGTTTAATGAAACTTTTTAAAACGTCATTTTATTTTAAAGTCTACGTATTCAAAGTTTCGTGAGTGAGTCATAATAAGATGCTGACTGGTGTGATTTCTTTAACGATTTTAGGAAAAAAGTTCAGCAATAGATTTATTTTTGATATACTTAAAATTTAAAAAATGGGTTTTCCCCATTTTTATCGAAATTGCTTTGGATATTTTGTTGAAATTTGGTAGGACGCACAAAATTTATAGACAAATGGTTGTTTCCAAGTTTTTACAGCCCATTTGAGATGTGTTTGATAATTTTTGGCTAATAGGAATATAAATGTTTTTTATTTTAAAAAAAAAACGGTGGCTGGCGAAATTAGAAAAATAAGTTTTACAAAAAAAAATTGTCTCTATGCCTTGTTGTCCTCTACAAAATTATTAATAAAATATCTAAAGTTTCAATAAAAATGTGCATTAATAACAAAATGATTAGTGAATCCCAATTCCAAGCTCGTGTCCTTAAATCAAATTCAAGCATAAACATGTGTCTGAAAACAAAGTAAGTTACCAAAAATTATCAAGAAACAAAAAAAATTGTGCTTGCATAAGCTGTTGACTACGAGCAAAATATAAGACTTTTAAAGGGGCACCCGTTTTTTTGGGGAAAAGCGAGGTTGAAAATAGTAAATAAAACTGCCTTTTTTTCAACCCCTACCACCACACCTCGCTCGAGTTACTCATTCCGTACGTGCAACAGTACCTACGAATGTTTTCGCGAACGTACAGTTCCTATGGCGGATGATAACTTAAAAAAAACTCTTAAATGTCAACGGGTTATCTAGAAAATAAAACAATATTACTTTCCGCCCAAGTGGAACAGAAGCATAATATTTATGTACCAATAAGTATTTTAAAGAAATCAACTAATTTGTCATTAAAAAAACAAATGTTTATTTTATCAGCAAATTGAAATTGCAAAAAATTTGTAGGTACCCATAAAATAACAAGGTGTACCATATGTACAAATATATACCCAGCGGGAATTAATGGGGCGAAAGCGTTTTTTTCTACTCCCAAAGGGTCCTTTGTTGTTACCCACGGTACCACGTCGCGATCGGTTGTCAATTCGGGCGGTTACAAACTCGTGACTAACTTGTTGCATATATACGACCGTTGACAACTGAAATAAAACGAATAAAAAAAATAAACTGTAATTAATAATTTGACGTGATCGGCTTTTGAAAAATTTTGAAAATCTTCCGTTGTCATTCAGTGCCTAATTTCTTGCTGAGATTATTAAATGGATGACAGTTGTAGTACAAAATCTGTATTGACTTGTTTACATAAATTCATACGTCTGTCGATAGTGAATGGGAGATTAATTATTATTATAGTTATTGTTACCGATAAAATTATCGGCGCTTAGTTTTTTATTAGCGGACATTGACTTTATATTGATAAAGCTGACGATAATATTTGCATAAATAGCGCAGTGTGGCTGAGAAATTTCCTTAGATTAACGTATTAGTGCTGCTTACCTTGGAACCGGAATAACAACGCATAATATTACTTCGTAAGGTCGCCGAGTATTTAATATTACAGGGTGTACCGTAACTTATCCACCAGAGATGAACAGGATCTAACACTTGAAATATTATTTTTTCAACGTCTGCTCTGCTGAATTTATATATTAAAATTGACGAACACGGACTAAAATTAAAGAGTTATACCAATTGTTATATATATAGGTAAAAAGAAGGAGAATATAATATTAATAGTTTATTATCGAACCATTCATGTATGATATGCTTTCCTCAAAAGGCAAAGACCTTTTTGTTCGACCAAGTGAGCGAAAAGTGTGAACATTCTCATTTCTCATTTGATGATCTAGGTAGCAAATTACATCAGTAACCAACCATATCTTGGAAGAATTATCACCTCGAGCTAGATAGATATAGGAAGGTTCCTAAAGAGAATATAATTGCTTAAAAAATGAAAAAGATTGTGTAGCAACGTCTGTTTTAGATAGATAGAAGGTATAATCTTATGTAACAATTAAAGTTCAAAAAAATCAATAGCTAGCAATTGTATATCTGCCTGCGCAAGTGATGAATGCAGGATTAAAATTTAAGGTGAGATGAATTTGAATTACTAAAAATTATTTTGGAATGAATAACGTACATCATCAAAGATAATATTCATGGGTTATACGAAAGTGTACATAGTTTATAAAGTGGTCCCGGTCGCCTCCATTGTTGGGCGAGTGCATAACGCTACGCCACTGATGATACCAACAATGATTCGACAGTTAATTTTCACTAATAGTTGTAATTATTATTTCTGACGCGTTTTTTTGTTTATGGCGCCTACTCGAGCTCTTCAATTGATTGTGACAGTTATTGCGTCTGAATCGAAGTCATGTGGCTTATTTTTATTAAGATCATCGCACACGTGTTACTGTAAGGTCGCGTTGTTCGCGATCTGGATGCATGATTTCTTGTTCCGACCGATCTCTTCAGCGCCGAGTTATTTTTAGACGATTTTAATTTATTACAATGTCGATCCGCTTCGGTATATATAGCCGTACACCGCAAGAACTTGTTCTTCCTTTTAACTTTCTACGTCTGTCGAGATAAATAGGTGCGTGTCATTCTTGTCTATACGCGTGAACTTATACAGGGTGTACCAATATTCTGGAAAGATCTCTTAAAACCAAGACATAAAAACAATGGTGCATTTACATCCTTTAATATTCGGGCATACTCCCTTTTGGCTTGCTAGAAATCATAACTTTCTTCAGAACTTGTTCTTTTACGCACCCATCCATTGAATTTTAAATGTGGTGACCGTGGTGCTGCATCGAAAAGATCCCTCTCAAGGTTCGATCTCTCATGGCATTTTCCTACTAGCGTTCGGTGGTGCTAAGACATAGATGGTCCTACATTTGCTCAGCTCGGTCTTCAGTCTGCTAGTCCAGCAAGATATTCCCGCCTAGATGTCAGTCTACTCGATAAATATTTGTGGAATGATTCCCGCATTAGCAGCAAGATATGTGCATCGGAAAAAAAGTTAGTTTTTTCATGATACGTAATTATTATTTTTAAAGATAAGACCTTCGATGCTATTTGTTGGCCATGTATCGATTTGGGTCACGCGGTCGCGTACATGTATCTAATGAAAGCTTTAATTAAACCAGTGACAACGACGACGAAAGCTTTTATTTGCTGTTCCGTAAACTTGACACTTTGGCGCTTTGCTTGTTCGAATTTTACTTATCTTACAGTTCCAGCTCCAAAACTTTTTTTGTATAATTTAAATTTATTAAAAAAAGAATAATATTATTCTGCCACCGAAACTGTCAAAAATTTCTCACCTAGAATTGGACAACCATTCACCAAAAACATGTATAATACAATACTAGATTCTCTACTCCCATACTACTGCATACCGTGCAGTTGTGGCAAAATATCAACCAGCTTAAAAGAATACGAGAGATCAGTCAGATTTCAACACTGAAGCAATTAAATCCCACTATCCTTCAATTCGAGTCTCCTCGGCAGTTATTTAAGGTGTGAGCTGAACAATTAATCATCAAATCAGTATCGGACAG